TGCCGGAAGATTGAGAGGCATAAGAGAATGCTGTGGAAGGTCACACCTGCTGCCCAGGTGCCATCAATCCTCAGGACCCTGTCTGCCTGGGATTTGCTACGGAAGGCTCAGCAGAGCAGAAACCAGGAGGTGCTTCAGCTGTTCACAAGTCCTGCCTTTGGCGACGGTTAGTGGAACTCTGTTTCTGTGCTGGAAAGAGAGCTGACAAAGTTGGGACGAGAAACATCACACTGGAATAGGTTAATTACACGAAATGAAACTCATCTGTGTAAATTGTGATAAAACACAACTCAAGACATTTTAGGTACGATAATTGGTTTGTTTGACAAATTATATTTCTGGAGTCAAAATATACAGACATGTTCCTTTTGAAACATACAGGCAAAACACAGATTGTAGGTTGGTTTTGAACATACTGTGCAAGTTTACCATCATCAGAAGCTCCTCAAATTACTGTCAGGAGTAGTCATGTGGTGTCGTGCCGAGTAATGTACAAAGCAAGCTTCAGCCCACTGGTAAATACAGAGACCATATGGATACCTACTGGGACGTAAACATTAGGGACTTCAATTAAAGGGAGATGGCAAGTTTTATCTTGTTTGCTGGAGAGTAGTTTCCGTTAAGCCAGGGATCTGGACTTTCCTTTGTCTACTCCTGATCCTTCTTCTACTGGAAAGGGGCCTCGATCCAGACCCCAAGAGAGGGTTCTTGGACCTCACGTAAAAAAGAGTTTGGGGCAAGTCCATAAAGTGAAAGCAAGCTTATTAAGAAAGTAAAGGAATAGGCTGGGTGCAGTGGTTTACGCCTGTAATCCCAGCACTTTGGGAGGCCAAGGTGGGTGGATGACTTGAGGTCAGGAGTTTAAGAACATCCTGGCCAACATGGTGAAACCCCATCTCCACTAAAAATACAAAAATTAACTGGATATGGTGGCACGCGCCTGTGATCCCAGCTACTCGGGAGGCTGAGGCAGGAGAATTACTTGAATCTGTGAGGTGGAGGTTGCAGTGAGCTGGGATAGTGCCACTGCACTCCAGTCTGGGCAACACAGCAAGACTCTATCTCAAAAATAGGCTGGGTGCAGTGGTTTATGCCTGTAAACCACTATCTCAAAAATAATAATAATAATAAAGTAAGGGAATAAAAGAATGACAACTCCAGGCCAGGTGCGATGGCTCACGCCTGTAATCCCAGCACTTTGGGAGGCTGAGGTGAGAGGATCACCTGAGGTCAGGAGTTCGAGGCCAGCCTGGCCAACATGGTGAAACCCCATCTCTACTAAAAATATAAAAATTAGCCAGGCATGCTGGTGTGCACCTGTAATCCCAGCTACTCAGGAGGCTGAGGCAGGAGAATCACTTGAACCCAGGAGGTGGAGGTTGCAGTGAGCCAAGACCATGCCACTGTACTACAGCCTGGGCAACAGAGACTCCATTTCAAGTAAAATGATAATAAACAAAAATTAAAAGAAATTAAAGGAATAAAAGAATGACTACTCCACAGGCAGAGCAGCAGCATGGGCTGCTGGACTGAGTAAACTTATAGTTACTTCTTGGTTCTATGCTAAACAAGGGGTGGATTATTCATGAGTTTTCCAGGAAAGTGGAGGGCAATTCCTGGAACCAAGGTTTCCTCCTCTTTTCGCATCTATAAACTGTCATGGCGCCGGTAGGAGTGTCTTTTAGCATGCTAATGTATTATAATTAGCATATAATGAGTGGTGAGGAAGACCAGAGGAAGACCAGAGGTCACTTTTTTTTTTTTTTTGAGACGAGTCTCGCTCTGTCTCAAGTAGCTGGAACTACAGGCACCCGCCACCGCGCCTGGCTAATTTTTTTTTTGTATTTTCAGTAGAGACGGGGTTTCACTGTGGTCTCGATCTCCTGACCTCGTGATCCGCCCGCCTCGGTCTCCCAAAGTGCTGGGATTACAGGCGTGAGCCACGGCGCCTGGTCCAGGGGTCACTTTCATCACCCTTGTGGTTTTGGCTGGCTTCTTTACCGCATCCTCTTTTATCAGCAGAGGCTTTGTGACCTGTATCTTGTGATACCAAACCTGCTGACCTCCTATCTCATCCTGTGACCAAGAGTGCCCAACATCCTGGGGATAAAGCCCAGCAGTTCTCAGCCTCATTTTACCCAGCCCTTGTTCAAGATGGAGTCGCTCGGCTTCAGACGCTTCTGACCCTTGAACTGTAGCACTGACCTGATCAATATCTCCTACTGTGAAAGGAAAATAAATCTCGGGACCCCAAGATTACTAAGCCAAAGAGAGAAGTCAAACTGAGGATCGCGTCAGACAAACCTGCCTCCCATTTTGTTCTTCGATAAGATAGCTAGAAAGTTCAAAAGAGCGACATACCCCCTTCACAATTTCTCCACAAGGAAATTCCTTTTGGGCCTCAAGATCTTTGCCCTAAAACAGTTCTGATGAATTTTACCCTGGCAATGTAAATTCACAGCTTTTCTTCACAGGGACAACGCAGACAAGTCATCCCTCTGCTCACTGAAGACAAATGCACATGTGGTTTCTTCCTCTGCCCTATTGTTTATGCAAAAATGCAGATTCACTGAGCCAGACAGTGAGTAAAGCATATGTGACTATTCCTCTACCCACTCTCACATGTAAATTGTGTATTCAGTGAAAGGCTGATCACAGACTGAAAAGAATGCAACCTTCTGGTCGGGCATGCTGGCTCACGCCTATAATCCCAGCACTTTGGGAGGCTGAGATGGTTGGATCACCTGAGGTCAAGGGTTCGAGACCAGCCTGGCTAACATGGCAAAATCCCGTCTCTACTAAAAATAAAAAAGTTAGCCTGGCATGGTGGCACACACCTGTAGTCCCAGCTACTCAGGAAGCTGAGAAAGGAGAATCGCTTGAACCTGGGAGGTGGAGGTGGCAGTGAGCTGAGATCTTACCACTGCACTGCAGCCTGGGCGACAGAGTGAGACTCCCTCTCAAAAAAAAAAAAAAGAACTCGGGGTAGGGGGACATGGGTCCCCAGCCCCTGAATTCAGGAAAACTGTATGGAACTTTGTCACCACACATGAAAACTGCAAGGGGCCATAGAAAGCTCCTAATTCAATGCCTCTTTTAATGTAGAAACTAAAGCTAAAGAGGAGATAAATGGCTACAGAGTGTCACAGGCAGGACAGAACCCAGGGCTCCCTGCCTCCAGACTATTTCTCCAGCAGTCTAGCGACCATTCACCCTCCTCCTTTTTTGTTTTTTTGAGACAGAGTCTCATTCTGTTACCCAAGCTGGAGTGCAATGGCACGATCTCGGCTCACTGCAAGCTCCGCCTCCCAGGTTCATGCCATTCTCCTGCCTCAGCCTCCGGAGTAGCTGGGACTACAGGCGCCCGCCACCTTGCCCGGCTAATTTTTTTGTATTTTTAGTAGAGGTAGCGTTTCACCATGTTAGCCAGGATGGTCTTGATCTCCTGACCTCGTGATCTCACTGCCTCGGCCTCCCAAAGTGCTGGGATTACAGGCATGAGCCACTGCACCCGGCCCACTCATCCTCCTTCTGCTAACAGCACCCTGATCTTCCTCTGAGGAGCCACCCCTGTGCTTGGCTGAGCCCTTATTGTTGAGGTGGGCTCTGCCCACATCTCCAGATGAAGTCCACAAATGCCAGTCCCTCAGGCCCAAGCTAAAGTCAAGGTCAGACACAGGACTCAGCAGAGCCATCCGGGGTGAACAGGAGGCATCTGGAGGCTTTTTCTTCCACTGGAGCTGGCCTATGTGGGGATTCCCCAGACATGAAGGCCCAGGAAAAAACTGTCTGCATCCCCAGAAATAAGAGAGAACCTGGCGGGTGCGGGGGGCTGCGGATGGGAATAGGTCACTAGGTCCAACCAGGTGACATTGTTTTAGCTCAGTGTCGGGTAGTATCTTTCATCAGATCGGTAGCCTTTCATCAGATGCCTTTTTTTTTTTTTTTTTTTTTTTTAGAAGGAGTTTTGCTCTTGTCACCCAGGCTGTAGTGCAGTAGCACAGTGGCAGGATCTCGGCTTACTGCAACCTCTGCCTCCCGGGTTCAAGCGATTCTCCTGCCTCAGAGTAGCTGGGATTACAGGCATGCGCCACCACCTCTGGCTAATTTTGCATTTTTACTAGAGATGGGGTTTCACCACCTTGGCCAGGCTGGTCTCAAACTCCTTACCTCAAGTGATCCACCCGCCTCGGCCTCCCAAAGTGCTGGGATTACAGGTATGAACTGCTGCACCTGGCCCAGACATCTTTCCTTTTTCTCCTTTCTCCATCCTAACCTTGCCAGTTTTCTGCCAGGCGGGATACAGTGTTTTCAAATCCCAGCTCCATCGCTTACAATGTGAGTCGCTCCACCCATGAGCCTGTGTTCTTATCTGTAAAATGGCAATGACGCCACCCGCTCTTTGGGTTGCTGGAGGATGAAATAAGACCCAAGTAAAGCACTTACGTCAGTGCTCGGCACCCCAGGAGGACTCACATATTACTATTAATATATTAGGCCAGCTTACACTGGGTTTTGTCACTGGCAATAGAATTTGAGCAATCCGGGGCCTTTTACTGACACCACGCCATGCTATAGTCATAAAATCACATATGTTTCCAGGAATCCTCCCCGAAATAGTAAAGCTTTAAGTGTAGTGTGTGCTCAAAGGCTACGTTTCAGTTCGATGGAGATCAGGAAGACACCTGTTCCCTGCGTCCTCTCCACGCCCCACGCCGGGCGCCCACACACTGCTCCTCCTGTCGCCGCAGCGCCACGCACCCAGGTACCCTCCCCGCCACCCCTTCTCCTCGCCTGCAGGCGGTGTCCACACCGCCCTCTCCGCTCCTGCAGGCCAGGTCCTGGAGGGCGGCCGGCGTCTCGCCGCCAGAGAGAGTGCGGGAACTCACTCAGTCGACTCTGGACTCTTGACCTGGCGCGACCCCGGAAGTGGGCGGGCACGCGACCTCAAAGCTCGCGCCGACGCGGCGCACCGCAGCCAATGGCACGTCCCAGGCCTCAGCGCCCTGGAGAGGCTGGCCAATGGGCACGGGGCCTGATGCCGCTTCCGGCCCACCCTCTTGCCCGGGCCCCGGGAGGGCTGGTCCGCTGAGCCCGGACGCCGGGGAGCTACCACCGCGACTCCGCCCCGCCCCGCGCGGGCTCAGGTGAGTGCAGCGCGGCGCCCCAGCTGCAGCGGCGGCCAGGGCCATGGGAAAGGTTGGGGCGATGAAGGGCTGGGCACGCCGCCTTCCCCACCACCCCCAGGCTGGTTGCCCAAACACTCGGGGGGAGGGAGCAAGGAGGGACCGCACTTGTCCTCACGCCTGCACGCCTGGAGGGTGCCACCCTTGTCCCCTGCCCTGGAACGCCCACAGTCTGGCGAAGTGGCCTGGTGCAGGTGACGTCCCCACTCCAGCCTTTGGACTGCAGCCATAGGAGAAGCGGATCGCGGGATCCTGGTTTCGAGAATCACGCAGCAAAGGGCCTGCCTAGCCCTCTCCTTGGGCATGGATGGGAGCAAATCTGCTTGTCGTCAGATTAGCTTTGGCAGATGGTCAGGGCCCAGAACTCCCACATATGCTACTGGTGGCAGTGCAGGGGCACCACCTGTCACCCAAGTGCACAGAACTGGGCTGAACGCCAGGCTGACTCAGGACACCTCCTGCCTGGTGGGGCTGGGCGAACCCTATTCTTCAGGAAAGAATCAACTGCCATGCAAGTTCTGCTGCTTTTCCCCACCTTTTAGGACCCCGATGTCGCTTTTGAACAGCCCCTGCACCTTGCAGCCAGCGAGCTACTGTAGTAGGCATTGCCGACTCTGTTTGCATACTGGATGGGAGTGACAGTGTAATAGAAAAATAAGCAAGAAACCTTTTAGGTAGGACTCCTAAGGCTCAGAGGAAGTGAGTAAGTGCTTGCGGAGCGTTCTTGGTATTGTGTCTTTTCCTCTACCACATCTCTGTCCCCGCTTCTCTTGGGTGCTTTTTTTGGTCTCTGAAAGGATCTGTGAATAAACCGAGACAGAAAGGCAGATGGCTTTGAGGGTGGCGAGCAGACCTTCTTCGTGGAACGACTGAAGGTTCAACTCAAATTCATCTTGTAGAAATTCTTGGTGAATTCGAGGCTGCTGATTTGGAAGATTTTCCTCCATCCCTCTAACCCTACAAAACAAACAAGTCCCAGGATCCCTGAATCATGGGGCTTCATGTTCCCACCCCTCTTTCAAGAGTCCTCTGACCCCGTGACCCTGTACAAGTTGCCTGATCAGCTCACAGCCAGAAAGTGGCCCATGAGGAGCTAGGGGGAGCCTCTTGGCAGAGGCAGAAAGGAAATGTGGCTCACCAAGGATGGTTACCGGATGTCAACTGTAGCTGGGAAGTGACCGGTACTTGGGTCTCCATTCTGAAGGGAGTTTGTAAATAACAGCAACCTCCACCCCTTCCTTTCACTGTAGCAGAGTCTCCTCCCATTAACTGCCCAGAAGGTTCAATGATGTCTATGAATACATTAATGCTTAGTCATTTCTCTGAAGGAAAGTCAAAATCTCCTTTCATTGAGCTCTACCTGAAGACTGAGTCTAGCTAAACTGTTTGCTTATCCAGTGAATTCTGAGCTATCTTTGTTTTTTGTTGTTGTTTGTTTTCCTTTTTGAGACAAGGTCTCGCTCTGCTGTCCAGGCTGAAGTGTAGTGGCACAATCATAGCTCATTGTATCCTCAACCTCCTGGGCTCAAGTGATCCTCCTGCCTCAGCCTCCCAAGTAGCTAGGATCACAGGCATGTGCCACCACATCCGGCTAATTTTTTTCTTTTTTTTTTACTTTTTATTTTTGTAGAGATGGGGTCTCCCTGTGTTGCTTAGGCTGGTCTTGAACTCCTGGGCTCAAGTGATCCTCCCACCTCAGCCTCGAAAAATGCTGGGATTACAGGCATGAGCCACTGCACCTGGCCTCTGAGCTATCTTTGAAGACTAACTTATATTTAACGCTATAGAAAGTGACAACTAAAAAAAAAAAAAAAAAAAAAAAAAAAAAACCCTTCATCTTCCCCTAGCATTTTATTGAAGATTTTCACACATACAGCCAAGTTGAAAGAATTACACAGTCAGCATCCCCCTCCCCACCAACTAGATTCTTCTACTACTGACACTTTACTTGCTTTATTACATATCTGTCCACCGATTATGACCTTGCTTTTCAAGTTATTTGTGGCATTTGTTTTCCCCGGAGAAGTATTTCTGTCTTAGATCAGGGAGTTGGCAGCGTGTTGGAGGTAGGTGGTGGTGATTATCCTTAAACGTTTCAGCACCCACTGTGTGCAGAGACTATTATGGAAATGAAGAGGTTGAAGACTCAGACCTGAAAGGGACTTGGTTTTTTTTTTTTCTTTTTCTTTTTTTTTTTTTTTTTTTGAGACGGAGTCTTGCTCTGTTGCCCAGGCTGGAGTGTGGTGACATGATCTTGGCCTACTGCAACCTCTTCCTCCGAGGTTCAAGCGATTCTCCTGCCTCAGCCTCCCAAGCTGGCTAATTTTTGTAGTTTTAGTAGAGACGGGGTTTCACCATGTTGACCATGCTGGTCTCGAACTGCTGACCTCAGGTGATCCACCAGCCTCAGCCTCCCAAAGTGCTGGGATTACAGGCATGAGCCACTGTGCCCTGCCCTGGTTTCTTATTTTTTATTTTTATTTTTTGAGATAGGATCTTGCTCCCTCGCCCAGGCTGGAGTACAGTCTCTCGATCTCAGCTCTCTGTAGCCTCAACTTCCCAGGCTCAAGTGATCCTCCCATCTCAGCCTCCCAAGTAGTTGGGACTACAAGAGCAAATCATCATACCCAGCTAATTTTTGCATTTTTCGTAGCGACAGGTTTTCGCCATGTTGCCCAGGCTGACCTTGAACCCCTAGGCTTAAGGGATCCACCCACCTCAGCCTCCCGAAGTGCTGGGATTACAGGTGTGAGCCACCACACCTGGCTGATTTTTAATTTTTTAAATTTAATTAATTAATTTATTTATTAAGACAGAGTCTCGCCCTGTCACCCAGGCTGGAGTGCAGTGGCGCAATCTTGGCTCACTACAAGCTCCGCCTCCTAGGTTCACGCCATTCTCCTGCCTCAGCCTCCCGAGTAGCTGAGACTACAGGCGCCCGCCACCACGCCCGGCTAATCTTTTGTATTTTTTAGTAGAGACGGGGTTTCACCGTGTTAGCCAGGATGGTCTCAATCTCCTGACCTCATGATCCGCCCGCCTCGGCCTCCCAAAGTGCTGGGATTACAAGCGTGAGCCACTGTACCTGGCCTAATTTTTTATTTTTTAAGAGATGGAAAAGAAGTGACAGTTTGTGGTAGCAAGTACCCACTAACAATGCCAAGTAAAAAGTAAATAATCCCAAGTAAAAATGCCAAGGAACATCAAATTCTTGCTGGGTACTGAACTGTGTATTAAAAGCTCTGTGCCAATATTATCTCATTTAATTCTCATAAGAAATAGGTATGTATGTCACTATCCCATTCAGCCTTTTTTTTTTGTTTTTTTTTGATGGAATTTTGCTCTGTTACCCAGGCTGGAGCGCAGTGGCACAATCTTGGCTCACCACACCCTCCGCCTCCCAGGTTCAAGCGATTCTCCTGCCTCAGCCTCCCGAGTAGCTGGGATGACAGGCGCCCGCCACCACGCCCGGCTAATTTTTGTATTTTTAGTAGAGACAGGGTTTCACCACGTTGCCCAGGCTGGTCTCAAACTCCTGGCCTCACGCGATCTGCCTGCCTCGGCCTCCCAAAGTGTTGGGATTACAGGCGTGAGCCACCGCGCCCAGCCCCATTCTGCGTTTTATAGATGAGGAATTAAGGCATAGAGAGGTTAGTTAGCTTTTGGTGGCACAAGAAAGTGACGATCCCAGAATGTATCATTCTGAGATCCAGGCAGCTCTGGACTCTCTTAGTCACTGTGAAGGTGCCAGAGGGGACCTCAGTCCTCATCAGTGAGGTATGAAGAGGTCACTGGAGGTCACCGGGGTCCCAGCTCAGGACCCTGGACACAGATGCCAGTTTCAAATGGTTCCAGAAGGCTGGTGTTCTGATTTTCTTGTATGTTTGACGGGCCTTGGTGCCCTGGGGTGGAGGAGGTTGGCCACTCTTCGAGGGGCTCTTACTCCCTGGGCTTGCTCCATTCTACTGGGCAGTCTCCCTCCTGTTCTTTTCATCCACTTCCTGTTATGGGAGTTTCCCAGAGCTGAGCTTTTGTTCTGCTTCCTGTCTTCCTGTTCCTCACCCTCTCACTCACTTCCTTTTCAACCTGCATTCTGTCTTCTTGGTGTTTGTAAGATATACCTTGTCCCGGCCATGGCCGGGGACTCACGCCTGTAATCTTAGCACTTTAGGACGGATCACCTGAGGCCAGGAGTTCGAGATCAGCCTGGCCAACATGGCAAAAACCCATCTCTACTAAGAATACAAAAATGGGCCAGACGTGGTAGTGCAGGTCTGTAATCCCAGCTACTTGGGAGGCTGAGGCAGGAGAATCACTTGAACCCAGAAGGTGGAGGTTACAGTGAGCTGAGATCGTGCCACTGCACTCCAGCCTGGGAACAGAGGAAGACTCTGTCTCAAAAAAACAAACAAACAAACAAACAAACAAAAAAAAAAACAGAACCCAAAGAGCATTTTTTTTTTTTTTTTTTTTTGAGACGTAGTCTCGCTCTGTCATCCAGGCTGGAGTGCAGTGGTGCAATCTCAACTCACCGCAGCCTCCACCTCCTGGTTCTAGTGATTCTCTTGCCTCAGTCTCCTGAGTAGCTGGGATTACAGGTGCACGCCACTGCGCCCGGCTAATTTTTGCATTTTTTTTTTTAGTAAAGATGGAGTCTCACCATGTTGGTCAGGCTGGTCTCAAACTCCTGGCCTCAGGTGGTCCATCTGCCTCAGCCTCCCAAAGTGCTGGGATTATAGGTGTGAGCCACCGCACCTGGCTTATTATTATTATTTTTTTTGCTGTTGGCAGCTACTCCTATTTTCAGATGTGCTTCTATCTCGTGCCATTGCCACAGTCACCCAGCCATCTGGAGTACCCGCATGGCTCTGGCATGCTGCGGGAGCACCGGGCCCAGCCTCCAGGCACCTAAATAAACTCTGCGTATCTCCTTTTGCTCTGGTATTTAAGTCAGACTGGCCATGTCTTCATCTGTAGGCTCTTTCCTCTCTTCAGGCCCTGGGGCACTGTCCTGGGTTGGATCTGGGAGCCGCCCTATCAGGCAGAGCTTCTCAGGTGATGGCCCCGGTAGCCTCATCCGGTAGCTCTGTGTTTGGCTGCCTTGTGTCTGGCCATGTGGCCCTGCCGTGGTGGAAAGACTGTTCCTACCAGGAGCCAGGGCTCCAGGAAGGACACCCCTGGGTGCAACAGCACTGTGGGCCCTGGAGGTGGGGCCAGGAGTGGTCAGTGGCAGAGCTTAGCAATAGCCTTGGCTATGCCTACAAAGCACAGAGAAAGAGGAGAGAAAGGGCTGGGTGCAGTGGCTCATGCCTGTAATCCCAGCACTTTGGGAGGCCGAGGTGAGAGGATCGCTTGAGGCCAGGAGTTCAAGACCAGCCTGGGCAGCATAGCAAGACCCCATCTCTAGAAAAAAGTTAAAAAAAAAAAATTCGCCAGGTATGGTGGCACATGCCTGTAGTCCCAGCCACTCAGGAGGCTGAGGCAGGAGGATGGCTTGAGTTCAGGAGTTCAAGGCTGCAGTGAGCTGTGATTGCACCACTGCACTCCAGTCTGGGCAGCAGAGCAAGACATTCTCTAAAAAATTAAAAAGAAAAGAAAAAGAAAGGAGTAGAGAACAGCAGAAGAAGAGAGCCAGGGGAGGGGGAGGAGGGAGTCGCTGAGGGAGCATGAAGAGAAGACCACTATGTCCTTGAATTCACATGGTCACGTTGGCTCTGGCTAGAATGCCAGGCATGTGTAAATGCCCTCACCATGCCCAGATAGAGGCCAACATGGGGGGGAGACCCCTGGGGAGGCAGTGGGGTAGTTATATCTTTTGAGATTCAGCTAAACCTGTAAGCTTTCATTGATTGTTTTGAAAACAAAGATCTGGCCAGGCGTGGTGGCTCAAGTCTGTAATCCTAGCAGTTTGGGAGGCCGAGATGGGAGGATTGCTTGAGACGAGGAGTTTGAGACCAGCTTGAGCAACATAGTGAGACTCTGTCTCTACAAAAAAATTTTTTAATTAGCTGGGTATGGTGGGGCATGCCTGTTGTCCCAGCTACTCAGGAGGCTGAGGCAGGAGGATCACTTGAGCCCAGGAGTTTGAGGCCGCAACAAGCTGTAATTGAACCACTGCACTCCAGCCTGGGTGACTGAGCAAAACCCTGTCTCTACTTTTTAAATTCTTTTTTTTGAGACAGGGTCTCTGCTCACTGCAACCTCCATCTCCCGGGTTCAAGCCATTATCCTGCCTCAGCCACCTGAGTAGCTGGGACTACAGGCACACACCACCATGCCTGGCTAGTTTTTATATTTATAGTGGAGATGAGGTTTCACCATGTTGACCAGCCTGGTCTTGAACTCCTGGCCTCAAGTGATCTATTTTTAAATTCTTTCAAAAACAAAAAAGAGGCCAAGCATGGTGGTTCATGCCTGTAACCCCAACACTTCAGGAGGCAGAGGCAGGCGGATCACCTGAAGTCAGGAGTTCGAGACCAGCCTGTCCAACATGGTGAAATCATGTCTCTACTAAAAATACAAAAATTAGCCAGGGGTGGTGCGTGCACCTGTAGTCCCAGCTACTGGGGAGGCTGAGGCAGGAGAAAACCCGGGAGGTGGAGGTTGCAGTGAGCCAAGATACCAAGATTGTGCCATTGCACTCCAGCCTGGGCAACAGAGTGAGACTCCGTCTCAAAAAAATAAACAAAAAAACAAAGAATAAATAGTTGCATAGGTGCAGTGGCTCACGCCTGTAATCCCAGCACTTTGGGAGGCTGAGGCGGGCAGATCACGAGGTCAGGAGTTCAAGACCAGCCTGGCCAACATGACAAAACCTGTCTTTACTAAAAATACAAAAACTAGCTGGGTGTGCTGGCAGGCGGCTGTAATCCCCGCTTCTCGGGAGACTGAGGCAGGAGACTTGCTTGAACCCGGGAGGTGGAGGTTGCAGTGAGCCGAGATCACGCCATTGCACTCCAGCCTGGGTGACAGAGTGATACTCCATCTCAAAAAAAAAAGAATAAATAGTCACAGTAGAAGTCTCCCAGGTTTCACTTGACTCTGATGTCCCCTGGGTTGGGAGCCTGAACGCTGACCCTCGTCCTCCTGCCACAGGTTACCTCCAGCTGCTGCCATGCCCAACTCAGTGCTGTGGGCGGTGGACCTCTTCGGGAGAGTGTACACGCTGTCCACAGCCGGCCAGTACTGGGAGCTGTGCAAGGACTCCCAGCTAGAGTTCAAGCGCGTCAGCGCCACCACGCAGTGCTGCTGGGGCATTGCCTGTGACAACCAGGTCTACGTGTATGTGTGTGCCAGCGATGTCCCCATCCGCCGCCGAGAGGAGGCCTATGAGAATCAGGTAGCGATCCTCATGGTTGGAGTTGCCGAGTGGGTCGGTTTGCTGGGTTATTGGTTAAAATGATGAACCACAGAAGGGAAATAGGGGCCCCAGATTCCCCACCAGTTCCTGCCTTCATTTCCTTCCTTGTACTTAAAAATCTGAGTTGCTGCCAGGCGTGGTGGCTCACGCCAGTAATCCCAGCACTTTGGGAGGCTGTGGCGGGCAGATCGCTTGAGCTCAGGAGTTTGAGACCAGCCTGAGCATCATGGCGAAACACTGTCTCTACAAAAAAAATACAAGAATTAGCAGGGTGTGGTGGTGCGCACCTTTAGTCCCAGCTACTCAGGAGGCTGAGGCAGGAGGATCACTTGAGCCAGGGAGGTCAAGGCTGCAGTGAGCCATAATCGTGCCCTGCACTCCAGCCTGGGCAACAGAGCAAGACCCTGTCCCCCTGCACCCCCCAAAAAAATGCCAAGTTGCATAGTATGCAGGGTCTTTGAGGCTGAAGCCACTATTGTGTCCTTACCAAAGCAGGCCGGCCAGGTCCCCAAGAGGGCAGGCTCCAGTGGTTCCGGGAGCCCAGGACAAGGTGTGCCCTCCACCGCCTGTCCTGCTTAGAGCGCTGTGGCTGGCAGGAGGATTCTTTGCCCCTTGGGGCCGCGCTGATGTACTTGCTGGCTCGTAATAAAGTGGCGTGGGGGTCCTCAGTCGCTGGGGAACAGGCCCTCTGCCCACTTCCTATTCTGGAGATCAATGAGGGGGCCAGCTGGGCAGGGTCAGCTGGCCCTGGAGATGCCCGGCCCGCCTGGGTTCCCACCCAGCAGGCTTGGGTCCAAGGCCACCTGTGTGTCCCCGGCCCTCAGCGCTGGAATCCCGTGGGTGGCTTCTGTGAAAAACTCCTACTGAGTGACCGCTGGGCGTGGAGTGACGTGAGTGGGCTCCAGCACCGGCCGCTGGATGGGGTGGCGCTGCCCTCGCCGCACTGGGAGTGGGAGTCTGACTGGTACGTGGATGAAAATTTTGGAGGCGAACCCACCGAGAAAGGGGTAGGTGAACTCGGGACCCTCCATGACTGCCCTGTGGGGAGGGGATGCCTAGGGCTCCGCCTGTCCCTGCTTCTGTCCCCTACACCCTGTGGTGCCTGAGCTCAGGCTTCAGGCCACGCCCTCCCTCCCAACCTTCCCCAGCTCTTCATATACCTTCCCTGCAGACCCTGAGAGCCCTTTCCTTGGTGTTTCAGGGGTGGACGTATGCCATCGACTTTCCCGCCACCTACACGAGAGACAAGAAGTGGAATTCTTGTGTGCGGCGCCGAAAATGGATCCGGTACAGGAGATACAAGTCCCGGGACATCTGGGCCAAGGTCTCTGTTCCTGAATGTGACTTGGGGGCAGGACAGGGCCAGGACAGACCGTGACATGCAGCCTCCTCTCCACCTTCCCCACCCGTGTGCACCGGGGGACGCCACGCCCACCTTCGGACCTAGCCTTTGAGCCGTTTCCTGTCCCGGGAACACCACAGCACTGCGTGTCCCTTTGCTTGGGAGATGGTCATACAGGGAGCCAGGCCGGGCCCAGGACAGCACAGAACTTGCCCTGACCCTGGTCTCCAAGCTGCTGTGTCCCTGACCGAGCCTCCCTCTGGCACTTTGTCCTCCCCCTCAGCCAAGGGAGGCACTTCTGACTCTAGCGTTGCTCCATGAAGCATCTCCCAGCTTAGGGAGGACAGCCCTGGACCCGGGTCTTGGCGTGGCCTCCAATGAGTGGAGGCCTCCCTGGGATGTCCAGGGCTGTGAGTTGGGGCTGCCCCTGGGCCTGGGAGAAGCCAGGAGACCAGGGAGCTGGCCCTATTTTTTTTTTCTTTTTAAAGATAGGGTCTCGCTCTGTTGCCCAGACCGTGCTCTGTTGCACCCTGTTGAGTGCAGTGGTGCAGTCATAGCTCACTGTAGCCTCGAACTCCTGAGCTCAAGTAATCCTCCCACCTCAGCCTCCCTAGTAGCTGGGACTACAGGCATGCACCACCATGCCCTGTTAATTTTTAAATTTTTTGTAGAGGCTGGGTGCGGTGGCTCATGCCTGTAATCCCAGCACTTGGGAGTTTGAGACCAGCCTGGCCAACATGGTGAAGCCCTGTCTCTACTAAAAATGCAAAAATTAGCCGGGCGTGGTGGCATATGCTTGTAATCCTAACTACTCAGGATGACTAAAAATACAAAAATTAGCTGAGTGTGGTGGCAGGTACCTATAATCCCAGCTACTCGGGAGGCTGAGGCAGGAGAATCACTTGAATCCAGGAGGCAGAGGTTGCAGTGAGCCGAGATTGTGCCACTTCACTGCAGCCTGGGCAATAGAGTGAAACCCAGTCTCAAAAAAAATAATAATAAATTTTTTGTAAAGATGGGGTCTCACTATGTTGCCCAGGCTGGCCTTGAACTCCTGACCTCAAGCAATCCTCCTGCCTTGCCTCCCAAAGCACTAGGAGGGCCAATGACTTTTGAAGACTTACACTGGCAGGGCCATCTTCTGTCATCAGCCTCATTCTTAGGGCTGGCAACCGAGTCACCGAGATCAGGTCACTGGAAAGCCCAGAGCTGAGACCCTGCAGCGCATCCGCCTTCCACACGGGGGCAGCGGTGACCACTCGGCTGACGGAGGATGGGGCAGGGGTCCTCACAGTCCTGATGCTGCCTTCCCTGTAAATTCAGGCAGCTGCAGGCTGGGCTGGAGAATGGACATCTGGATGGCAGGCAGGTTGGAGGTGGGTGCACGCCCAGGCGCTGACTGCTTCTGCTTCTCACCTCCTTGCTTCAGATCCCCTCGAAGGACGACCCCAAGGAGCTGCCCGACCCCTTCAACGACCTCTCTGTAGGGGGCTGGGAGATCACGGAGGAGCCTGTGGGCCGCCTGTCAGTGTGGGCTGTGTCTCTGCAGGGCAAGGTAAGGCCAACCCCTCTCGCTGCCCCAGTTCCCCACGACCCCACCTCCGTGGGTCCTGTCCTGTGCACCCCCTGGGTCTTGCTCCTCCCAGGAGCCCCGGCCCCCCGACCCCATGCCTGCTCCTGGCCTTTCTCTCCAAGACCCCAGCATGCTGATCAGTGCCCAGCCTCAGCTCAGGCACACCAAAGCGGCCTCCTCAAGACAGATTCTGAGCCCCCTGCCAGCTCCCTGCTGGTGTCTCCCAGTCTTCAGGAATAGTGTGGGGGTAGAAGTTGGGGTGACAGAAGGTGTGCCAGTGGACGGATGGGTGGTATGTGGACAGACGGATGGATGGGTGGGTGTGTGGATGGATGGATAGGTGGGTGGGTGTGTGGATGGGTGGGTGTGTGTGTGGATGGATGGATGGGTGGGTGGGTGTGTGGATGGGTGGGTGGGTTTGTGTGTGGATGGATGGATGGGTGGGTGTGTGGATGGATGGATGGGTGGGTGGGTGTGTGGATGGACAGACGGGTGGTTGGGTGTGTGCATGGATGGATGGGTAGGTGTGTGGATGGATGGGTGGGTGGGTTTGCGGATGGGTGGGTGGATGTGTGGATGGGTGGGTGGGTGTGTGTGTGGATGGGTGAATTGGTGGGTGGGTTTGTGGGTGGGTGGATAGATGGATGTGTGTGTGGATGAGTGGGTGGGTGTGTGTGTGGATAGATGGATGGATGGGTGGGTGGGTGGGTGTGTGGATGGATGGGTGGGTGGGTGGGTGTGTGGATGGATGGGTGGGTGGGTGGGTGTGCAGATGGATGGATGGGTGGGTGGGTGTGTGGGTGGGTGTGTGGATGGATGAGTGGGTAGGTGGATGGATGGATGGGTGAGTGAGTGGGTGTGTGGGTGGGTGGGTGGGTGTGTGGATGGATGGGTATGTGGGGTGGGTGGGTGTGTGGATGGGTGGGTGGGTGTGTGGATGGTTGGGTGGATGGGTGGGTGGGTTGCAGATGGATAGGTGGGTGGGTGGGTGTGTGGATGGATGGGTATGTGGATGGGTGGGTGGGTGTGTGGATGGATGGGTATGTGGATGGGTGGGTGGGTGTGTAGATGGATGGGTGAATGGGTGGGTGGATGGATGGGTGGGTGGGTGTATGAATGGATGGATGGGTGGGTGTGTGGGTGGGTGTGTGGATGGATGGGTGAGTGGGTGCGTGTGTGGATGGATGGGTGAGTGGGTGGGTGTGTGGGTGGGTGTGCGGATGGATAGGTGGGTGTGTGGGTGTGTGGATGGATGGTGGGTGGGTGTGTGGATGGGTGGGTGGGTATGCGGATGGATGGGTATGTGGGTGGGTGGGTGTGTGGATGGATGGATGGGTGAGTGGGTGGGTGGGTGTATGGGCAGATGGATAGGTGGGTATATGTGTGGATGGATGGAAGGTGTGTGCAGATGGACAGATGGGTGAATGTGCAGATGAATGGATGGATGGGTGGGTGTGTGTGTGGATGGATGGGTGGGTGAGTGGTTGTGTGGGTGTGTGGGTGGGTGTGCTGATGGATAGGTGGGTGGGTGGGTGTGTGGATGGATGGGTATGTGGGTGGGTGGGTGTGTGGATGGATGGGTGGGTGTGTGGTTGGGTGTGTGGATGGATGGGTGAGTGGGTGGGTGGGTGTGTGGATGGATAGGTGGGTGGGTGGGTGTGTGGATGGATGGGTGGGTGGGTGTGGGTGTGTGGGTGGGTGTGCGGATGGATAGGTGGGTGGGTGGGTGGGTGTGTGGATGGATAGGTGGTGGGTGGGTGTGGATGGATGGATGGGAGTGGGTGGGGGGGTGTGTGGATGGGATGGATGGATGGGTGAGTGGGTGGGTGTGTGGATGGATGGATGGATGGGTGAGTGGGTGGGTGGGTGTGTGGATGGATGGATAGGTGAGTGGGTGAGTGGGTGTGTGGATGGATGGATGGGTGAGTGGGTGGGTGGGTGTGTGTATGGATAGGTGGGTGGGTGGGTGGGTGTGTGGATGGATGGATGGGTGGGTGGGTGTGGGTGAGTGGGTGGGTGGGTGCGTGGATGGATGGATGGGTGGGTGGGTGTGTGGATGGATGTTTGGGTGAGTGGGTGGGTGGGTGTGTGGATGGATGGATGGGTGAGTGGGTAGGTGGGTGTGTGGATGGATGGATGGGTGAGTGGGTGGGTGGGTGTGTGGATGGATGGGTGAGTGGGTAGGTGGGTGTATGGGTAGATGGATAGGTGGGTATATGTGTGGATGGATGGAAGGTGTGTGCAGATGGACAGATGGGTGAGTGTGCCGATGAATGGATGGATGGGTGGGTGCATGGGTGGGTAGGTGGGTGGTGGATCTGTAGCTCTTTCGAGAGAGGCAGTCCTGTCTCAGGGAGTTTGTGAATCCTCCTAAGCAGAGGAATCGAAGCAGCCCCCGAGGGCAGCAGAGGCCCCAAGGGTCCTGAGCTCAGGGCACTGACACTCGAGTCACGGCTTTCAGTCGCACGTCAGGATTCTTCAGTCACTCTCGCCACGCACTGACCACAGCTCCCCAGTGGGCTTAGCGTTTATCAAAAGTCACGGGTTTTGTCACAGCCCCCCTCTGCAGCCACGTTGGCCTGTGCAAAGGCGAACACAGTTGCTTCCTCAGCCCTGCTGAAGGGCGATGGTAAGGGGCCGGGCAGAGTGAGGGAGCTGGCCTGGGGCCGGGCAGAGTGAGGGAGCTGGCCTGGGACTGAGCCCCCTTCGGGGGACCATGCCCACCTGGGTGCAAAGATGGAGAGGGGAGAACAGGGGCCACAGAGCAGCGTTTGTTTCCCAGAATGTCGGCCGTGAGCCGGTGCTGCCTGCACCACACCTGTGGTCCATGAGAGGCGGCACCAGGACCTGGGCTTCTGTAGAAGCTGGGGAGACAGAGGGGCCCTGAAGCCACCTGCTTGCAGAAGAGAGGCTCCCAGGCCTGGTGCTGCAGGGCCCGCTGTAGGGGGATGGTGGCAGGATTGGGAGGCGGGGGTCCCGAGTCTGAAGACAGCCCGATGGGGAGGGTCACTTGCCCTTTCTGGATCACGAAGTGACATGCAGTCTCCCCCAGGTAAAATGAGCCAAACAGTTCGGATGCTCTGAGCCCGTTGCTCCCAGTCTTAACCATTCAGTGAAGGGAGAAAGAACTGACATCTTAGACAGTTTTATGAATGGGGGTTGGAAGTTTTCCCATTTATCCATCGGGACCTTGGCCTCCCCTAGAGCTGGGTGTCGTGAGAGCACATCGCCACAAGGGGATGTGGGACACACGGACTGGCTGGGGTGGCCGGAGACCCCCGTGCCTGACGCTGGAGTCAGGTGGTAGGTGGGTGTCCATGAGTGGGCGGGGTTGGGGGGCGTCATCCCCAGGAAATGAATGGAACAAGTGTATCCCCCAGGACCGCCAGAATCCAGGGTTTGCGTTTTTTGGCTGGGGTAGGGGGCAGGGAGTGAGATTTGGACCGTCAGGGGACATGGATCCCACCCCCCACCACGCCGAGACCCCCGCGCTTGGCTGGTGGGAATGAGTGGATGCAGGTGCCATGTCCCTGTCTTGCCTCCCAGGTGTGGTACAGAGAGGACGTCAGCCACTCCAACCCTGAAGGGTCCTCCTGGTCCCTGCTGGACACCCCCGGGGAGGTGGTCCAGATCAGCTGTGGGCCCCACGACCTCCTGTGGGCCACGCTCTGGGAGGGGCAGGCCCTGGTCCGGGAAGGAATCAACAGGAGCAATCCCAAAGGTGGGCAGCCCGGCCCTCCCGCCCGCACACCCTGTACTGGGGAGAAGGGTGAGAGTCACTTGCTCCCCAGCTGTCGGGGCTGATGGGGACCACTGGGGGTTTCCTGGGGGCCCGGTAGGAAGTTCCTGGTCCGTTGTGGAGCCTCCTGGATCTGAAAACGGGGTCATGCACGTCTCGGTGGGAGTCAACGTGGTCTGGGCTGTCACCAAGGACCAGAAGGTAAGACGGGGATGCTGCACGGGGTCCCTTGAAAGCTGTTTTCTCTTCTTGCAAGTGTGGCCTAAACAGCAGGGCACAGTGGTTCACGCCTGTAATCCCAGCACCTTGGGAGGCCAAGGCCAGAGGATCACTTGAGCCCAGGAATTTGAGACCAGCCTGAGCAACATAGCAAGACCCCATCTCTACAAAAAATAATACAAATGTAAAAATTAGCCAGATGTGGTGGGTGCATGCCTGTGGTCCCAGCGACAAGGGAGGTTGAGGTTGGGGGATCACTTGAGCCGAGGGGTTGGAGACTACGGTGAGCTGAGATCACGCCACTATACTCCAGCCTGGGTGACAGAGCCAGACCCTGTCTCAAATTTAAAAAAAAAGAAAAACCCGGGCCGGGTGCAGTGGCTTACACCTGTAATCCCAGCACTTTGGAAGGCCAAGGTGGGCAGATCGCCTGAGGTCAGGAGTTCGAGACCAGCCTGGCCAACATGGCGAAACCATGTCTCTGACTAAAAATACAGAAAATTAGCTGGGCATTGTGGCGGGCACCTGTAATCCCAGCTACTTGGGAGGCAGGAGAAATGCTTGAACCTGGGAGGCGGAGGTTGCAGTGAGCCGAGATTGCACTACAGCACACCAGCCTGGGCGACAAGAGAGAGACTCCATCTCGACAAAGAAAAACCCATTCGAATAAATCTGGCACCAGCCGAGCACCATGCATTGTTTGTTGCTGAAATCGTTGCCAATCTCCAGGACGTTTGGTGCTGTAAAATCCTCCTCCACCCACACCCTGGTACCCAAATGCAGCAACTGAGAGTGTCACCTAATAGGCTGCAACATTTCAAAGAATCAGAAGCAAATTTCCTGAAGCCCTCAGTTAACCGAGCGCCTCCCCTTCCTCTAGTCAGTGCTTGTCTCTTACATCTTAGCGGCAAGTCCAATAAAACCAGCCAATTTCCAACCACTCACAGGGTTTTTCTAACTGCTTGTCAAGGGGGTTTCCCTGGCCCAGGGGATGGACGGCCTACACGTCTGCATCTGTGTCCCCGGTGCTGAAGTTTCCAGAGTCTGAGGCCACTCCCAGCCCACAAAAATACAGACCAGACTGTCCCCCACATTGGGTCCTGGTCACCCCACTTCCCAGGGACCACAACTTCCAAATCCCTCATACGGCAACGTGCCACTTTCTTTGGATTAAATGGGCAAAATTGGATTTCTTTTATTTATTTATTTATTTATTTATTTATTTATTTATTTTTCTGGAGACGGAGTCTCGCTCTGTCGCCCAGGCTTGAGTGCAGTGGCCGGATCTCGGCTCACTGCAAGCTCCGTCTCCCGGGTTCACGCCATTCTCCTGCCTCAGCCTTCCCGAGTAGCTGGGACTACAGGCGCCCGCCACCTCGCCCGGCTAGTTTTTTGTATTTTTTTAGTAGAGACGGGGTTTCACTGTGTTAGCCAGGATGGTCTTGATCTCCTGACCTCGTGATCCGCCCGTCTCGGCCTCCCAAAGTGCTGGGATTACAGGCTTGAGCCACCGCGCCCGGCCTTTTTTATTTTTTAATTTGAGACAGAGTCTCATTCTGTCGCCCAGGCTGGGGTGCCGTGGCGCAATCTCAGCTCACCGTAACCTCCACCTCCCGGATTCAAGCGATTTTCCTGCCATGGCCTCCCAAGTAGCTGGGATTCCAAGCGTGCACCACCACACCCGACTAGTATTTGTAGTATTTTTTAGTAGAGGCAGGATTTCACCATGTGTTCAGGCTGGTCTCAAACTCCTGACCTCAGGTGATCCACCCGCCTCGGCCTCCCAAAGTGCTGGGATTATAGCCGTGGGCCACCATGCCTGGCGGCATCTCAGGAATTCTAATAGCACAAGGTGTCCAGTAGGTCTGAGACTAACGGGGCCTCCCAGGCCACCATGGAGAATGTATCAGAACAGCCCGGATGGAATACCGGGCGGCAGGGTGGAGCATGACCAGCGGCTGAATCACAGAGCCACAGGTAGTGTGGGAAAATCTAGTGGGAGTGTGTGTATTTTTACACGTTGACATGAAAATACTTCGCTTTAAGTTTAAGTATTTCTTGAAGTGCTAAGAATAGACCCAACATAGGGGTCTCATGTTTTCTAAGAATGAGCTTTTTAAAAACTAGTTTTCGTAAATAACATTATTAAGGCCGTTGTCTTTCACAGGGACCAACTCAATTCAAATAAAGTAGCCTTTTCCAAGCCTTAGGCTGGAGAATGGGCAGGCAGCTGCCAGGACACGTGTGGCTGAGGCCAGGGGACCCTCAGCCCTCGTGGGACAGTGCCAGGCGCAGGAGATGCAGCCGGGGTGTGGGAAGAGGGACGTGGATCGTGGATAGGGGCTTCCTCGCTAAATGATGTGTGACTGCTCATTTGTGACACGAACCAAAGGATCAAATTATTCACTTGTTCTCCCTGAGGCTTAAACGAATGAACCGTCTGTTTCCCTGGCCGTCCAGGAAAACGTGTATTTCTGACTCCCCCAGGTGTGGTTCCGAAGAGGCGTCAACTCTCACAATCCCTGTGGCACCAGCTGGATTGAGATGGTTGGTGAGATGCTGATGGTGAACGTGGGAATGAACGACCAGGTGTGCACGGGGGTCCGCAGCCCCTGAACAGCAGGGGTCTCCGGATGGAGGCTCCTCATGCCACAAAATAGCCCGGTGGCCCCTTCCCACTGTAGGAGCTCATGATGGCGGTACAGTGGGGGTCCTGGCACCTCTGCACGCTCTTAGCCCACGAGGATTCCCAGGGGCTGGTTCTGCCAGGGTCATGGGGCCCTCGCTTAGGTCAATTTTCTTTTTTTTTTTTTTTTTTTGAGACGGAGTCTCGCTGTGTCTCCCAGGCTGGAGTGCAGTGGCGTGATCTCGGCTCACTGCAAGCTCCGCCTCCCGGGTTCACGCCATTCTCCCGCCTCAGCCTCCCAAGTAGCTGAGACTACAGGCGCCCGCCACCACGCCCGGCTAGTTTTTTTGTATTTTTAGTAGAGACGGGGTTTCACCATGTTAGCCAGGATAGTCTCGATCTCCTGACCTCGTGATCCACCCGCCTCGGCCTCCCAAAGTGCTGGGATTACAGGCTTGAGCCACCGCGCCCGGCCCCTTAGGTCAATTTTCTAAGGCCTCAGAGTCATGAGCACGGATCTGGCCTGACAGGCGGCAGGAAGGGGTTCCTGGAGACTGGAAGGTTTCCTTGAGAAATGTTTAGGTGAAATCAGGTGCGATGGTCACCAAGTGAAGGATGAAGCTGACCCCCTAACGTGGACTCCGAGGACGGAGCTTCTCTCTTTTTTTTTTTTTGTTTTGTTTTGTTTTCAGACAGAATCTCGCTCTATCACCCAGGCTGGAGTGCAGTGGCACAATCACGGCTCACTGCAATCTCCGCCTTCCAGGTTCAAGTGATTCTCCTGCCTCAGCCTAACAAGTAACTGGGATTACAGGTGTGCACCACCACATCTGTCTAATTGTTGTATTTTTTTGTAGAGACAGGGTTTCACCATGCTGGCCAGGCTGGTCTCGAACTCCTGACCTCAAGTGATCTGCCTGCCTCGGCCTCCCAAAGTGCTGGGATTACAGGCATGAGCCGCCATGCCCGGTCAGTGCAGCCGCTCTTAAGAATCACCTGCACAGTTTCACAGTGTGGCCTTCTCAGAGATAATGAGGATTGGGGACTTTTAAGACTCAAAGGGTGGGCTGGGCACCGTGGCTCACGCCTCTAATCTCAGAACTTTGGGAGGCCGAGGCAGGTGGATCCTCTGAGGTCAGGAGTTCAAGACCAGCCTAATCAACATGGTGAAACCCCATCTCTACTAAGAATACAAAAATCAGCCAGGTGTGCTGGCACATGCCTGCAGTCCCAGCTACTCGGGAGGCTGAGGCAGGAGAATCACTTGAACTCAGGAGGCGGAGGTTGCAGTGAGCCAAGATTGCTCCACTGCACTCCAGCCTGAGCAACAGAGCAAGACTCTGTCTCCAAAAAAAAAACTCAAAGGGTTCAGCCCCTTGCTGTCAAGGAGAGCCCCCCACTCCATTACACTGAGCAAGAAGTTCTTTCTGAGGTGCCAGGCTTCCCTCTGCTGCCACGCCCTCCTCCCACCCACCCTGGTGGCACAGCACCCAGAGGCCGGGGGATGACAGGCACCTGCTAGTGCACAGGGGTGCTGAGTCGGAGGCGACTCAGCTGAGTCTGAGCCGAGCCTGCCAGGGCCAAGGGACAGAGACGCTGCAGCCTACCTAGCCAGGCCACCTGAGCCCTTTAGCAAACCTTACTTCTTACCCAAAGGCAGAGAGTCGGATGCCTACCCAGAGACCTTTTCCATGGAAAGTGAGGTCAGAATTAGGGTGGTTACTTTGCATCTTAAAAAAAAACACCACGGCCAGGTGGGGTGGCTCACACATGTAAATCCCAGCACTTTAGGAGGCTGAGGTGGGAGGATCACTTGAGCCTAGGAGTTTCAGACCAACCTGGGCAATATAGTGAGACCCCATCTCTACAAAAATTAAAAAGTTGGCCAAGTGTGGTGGTGTGCACCAGTAGTCCCAACTACTCAGGAGGCCAAGGCAGGAGGATTGCTTCAGCCCAGGGGGTCGAGGCTGCAATGAGCCACGATTGTACCACTGCACTCCAGCCTGGGTGACAGAGTGAGATCCTGTCTCTAAAAAAAACCAAAAACATTCCGGGCGCGGTGTCTCACGCCCGTAATCCTAGCACTTTGGGAGGCCAAAGCAGGTGGATCACCTGAGGTCAGGAGTTTGAGACCAGCCTGGCCAACACGGTGAAACCTCATCTCTACTAAAAATACAAAAATTAGCTGGGCGTGGTAGCACATGACTGTAATCCCAGCTACTCTGGAGGCTGAGGCAGGAGAATCAGTTGAATCTGGGAGGCAGAGGTTGCAGTGAGCCGAATCACGCCACTACACTCCAGCCTGGCGACAGAGCAAGACTCCATCTAAAAACAAAACAAAACAAAAGCTTAGCCGGGCGTGGTGTTGGGAGCCTGTAATCCCAGCTACTCGGGAGGCTGAGGCAGGAGAATCACTTGAGCCCTGGAGGCAGAGTGGTTTCAGTGAGCCGAGATTGCGCCATTGCACTCCAGCCTGGGCAACAGAGCAACACTCTGTCTCAACAACAAAAACAAAAACAACAAAACCAGGACCACTTCTGGGTTCACTGGGGCATCTGCTTCCCACCAGAGGGCACACGCAAGACAGGGAGGCAGGTGAACCTTACTTCCTAATAGAGTGTCCCCCAGCCCCGCCACTTTGCCTGGACCTAGTCACCTTGAAACCCCAGCTCTGCCTGAGGACAGGGAGATGGGACCAGGTTGCAGCTTCTCCTGAGCCCCCTTCTAGCATTTGACTTCTGTGCCCACCACACAGCCCCACCATGGACCTTCCCAGCCCACACACACTTGCATATGGAGGACCCTGCCTGCATTTTGCAACCCCAGGAAGCGAGAGGAGCCCCCGGGCCTGCGCCCAGCTTCGTCAGAACAGAGCCTCTCTCTTCCAGGTGTGGGGCATTGGCTGTGAGGACCGAGCTGTGTACTTCCGGCAGGGCGTCACCCCCAGCGAGCTCAGCGGGAAGACCTGGAAGGCCATCGTCGTGGCCCGAGAGTGTGACCGGTCACACTCCGGCAGCTCGTCTAGTCTCCTCAGGTGACCAGGGACGGCAGGCTGTGCAGGAGCCAGGCTGGGACGGGCTCTCTGAGCCTAGGTGGTCACGTCCAGAAGAGTCTGCCACCCGCCCCACTGGGTCCCGGGACTTGTCCCAGGCAGGAGAAAATGGGTCTTCACTCACAAGAGCCACAAGAGCCGAAGCCCTCCTGCCTCGGTCCTACAGAGAGGGGGTCCTGGGGGCAGCCCGGGGTGGCTGCTGGAGGTGTTGGACGCACTCTGGGCTGCTGGTGGTGGCACTGGGAGCAGGGTAAGGCTGGGCCGTCATGATGGAGGTGAGGCTCGACCCTGATCTGGGTTACCCCATTGGGTCCAAAGGCTGAAGATCTGGGGCAGAAACAGTTCTCTGGGAAAGAAGTAAAGACCCCTCTGTCCAGGGTAAACAAGGACGGGACAGAGGGGCTCTGCCTAGCCTGCAGCAGTGGTCTCAGACTCAGGCACCGGGGTTGCCTGGAGGGTTTGTTCAGACTCTGATCTCCGGGTCTCACCCCGAGTTTCTGTTTGAGACTTAGTATTTCTCACCAGCCCCTGGGTGATGCTGCTGCAGTTCCGGGGCCGCACCTGGGGGTCCGTAGGTCTAAAGAGCGTGGACAAGCCCTAGCTCTGCCCACTGGCCGTAAGAGCGTGGACAAGCCCTAGCTCTGCCCACTGGCCGTGAGAGCACAGGCAGGCGACTCTGTGGATGAGCTGGGGACAGCTCAGCTCTGCAGTGGGAATGTTCACATCACGGGCGTGGATGGAGATGGCGCTCAGGGCCCGGGCTCTGCAGCCGTCCACGTTCCCACCTGTAGCTGTGACCCTCCCCAGCCCCTGGTCCACACCCCTCTGTGCCCTGAGCCTGGTGGTTACCACCCTGCTGTGCTGTCAGCCCAGAGGGTCAGGGAAGATGACCAGGGCAGGCGTTTGCTCATGTGTCACCTGAGGGTTTAGTCTGCTCAGATGGTAGGTGGCGTTTTGTTTGTTTTGTTTTGTTTTGTTTTGTTTTTGTTTTGTTTTGAGACAGTCTCACTGTGTCATCCAGGCTAGAGTGCAGTGGCGTGATCATGGCTCACTGCAGCCTCAAACTCCTGGGCCCAAGTGATCCTCCCACCTCAGCCTCCCAAGTAGCTGGGATTACAGGTGTTCACCACCACACCTGGCTAATTCTTGTATTTTTAGTAGAGATAGAGTTTCACTATGTTGGCCAGGCTGGTCTTGAACTCCTGACCTCAAGTGACCCTCCCACCTCTGTCTCCCAAAGTGCTGGGATTACAGGCGTGAGCCACCACACCCGGCCAACTGGTAGTTCTTTTTATTGTTTGTTTTTTTTGTTTTTTTTGTTTTGAGACGGAGTCTCGCTCTGTCGCCCAGGCTGGAGTGCCGTGGCGTGATCTCAGCTCGCTGCAAGCTCTGCCTCCTGGGTTCACGCCATTCTCCTGCCTCAGCCTCCCAAGTAGCTGGGACTACAGGCGCCCGTCACTACGCCCAGCTAATTTTTTGTATTTTTAGTAGAGATGGGGTTTCACCGTGTTAGCCAGGATGATCTCGATCTCCTAACCTTGTGATCTGCCCACCTTGGCCTCCCGAAGTGCTGGGTGTGAGCCACTGCGCCCGGACCCAACTGGTAGTTCTTAAACTAGAAAGTACATGAGAATCAGCAAAGAAGCTTCAAAAACTACAGATGCCAAATCTTTATAACTTTGAGGTTAGCAGTGGCTTCTTAGACATGACACCAAAAGCCCAGGCAATGAGGAAATACAGATAAATTGGACTTCATCAAAATTAAAAACTTTTGTGAATCAAAGGACATTATCAAGAGAGTGAAAAGTCAATGGAAGAAAGGCAAGGCTGGGTGCAGTAGCTTACACCTGCGATCCCAGCACTTTGGGAAGCCAAAGCGGGAGGGTCGCTTGAGCCCAGGAATTCAAGGTCAGCCTAGACAACATAGTGAGACCCCATCTCTGCAAGAATATTTTTAAAAAATTATCTGGGTGTAGTGGTATGTGCCTGTAGACGAGGCAGAAGTGGGAGGATCCCATGAGCCCAGGAGGTCGAGGCTGCAATGAGCTATGATCACTTCACTACCCTCCAGCCTGGGTGACAGAGAAAGACTCTGTCTCAAAAAAAACAAATAAACAATAACAAATGCTAGTGAGAACATGGAGAAATTGGAACCGTCCTACACTGCCGGTAGGAATGTGAAATGGTACAGCCACTGTGGAGAACAATTTAGCAATTCCTCAAGACGTGAAACCCAGAACTGCCATGTGAGCCAGCACATCCACTGTAGCCAGATGCTGGGCTCCTCTGTGGCCTCCAGAGACCAGCCTGAGGCTGTCAGGACCTGGAAGCACAGTGGCCAATGCCTCTTCCCATGTGCTAGCAGTAGTGGCCGCTTTCCAGTGGATGAAAACACATGTTTTAGTCCATTTTGTGTTGCTATAAGGGAATCCTGAGGCTGGGTCTTTTTTAAAGAAAAAAAGGTTGGCCGGGCACGGTGGCTCAAGCCTGTAATCCCAGCACTTTGGGAGGCCGAGACGGGTGGATCAAGAGGTCAGGAGATCGAGACCATCCTGGCTAACATGGTGAAACCCCGTCTCTACTAAAAAAATACAAAAAACTAGCCAGGCGAGGTGGCGGGCGCCTGTAGTCCCAGCTACTCAGGAGGCTGAGGCAGGAGAATGGCGTAAACCCGGGAGGCAGAGCTTGCAGTGAGCTGAGATCCGGCCACTGTACTCCAGCCTGGGTGACAGAGCGAGACTCCGTCTCAAAAAAAAAAAAGAAAAAGAAAAAGGGTTTATGGTCAGGCATGGTGGCTCAAGCCTGTAATCCCAACACTTTGGAAGACTAAGGCCAGCGGATCACTTGAGGTCAGCGGATCACTTGAGGTTAGGAGTTCAAGACCAGCCTCGCCAACATGGTGAAACCCCATCTCTACTAAAAATACAAAAATCAGCCAGGCGTGGTGGTGCATGCCTGTAATCTGTCAGCTACTCAGGAGGCTGAGGTAGGAGAATCTCTTGAACCTGGGAGGCGGAGGTTGCAGTGAGCCAAGTTTGCACCACCGCACCGCAGCCTGGGCGACAGTGAGACTCCGTCTCAAAAAATTTAAAAAAAAAAGCAATACTAATTCCAGATCTTCACCCTCAGATATGTCGATGTGATTGGTCTGCAGGGTGCTCCAGGCGTCAGCTTTCTGGAAGCAGGTGCTGATGTATGTCTTGCACAGAGGAAGAGACAGTTCAGAGAGGTTCTGACTTGCCCAAGGTTCCACAGGCAGTCATGGTGGAGCACGCTGGAACCGGGCCTGCCTGATAGCACCTGTTCCCCTGCAAGGGAGTGACGGGTCTGCCCTGATTTGTCCCTAGTGCCGGCTGCTTCTTCGGTGACGAGGTGAGGGGCAGTGGCGAATCTGCCCCCAGCGACACCGATGCCTCCTCAGAAGTCGAGAGACCGGGGCCTGGCCAGCCTCTCCCTGCAGAGCCTCTAGACGATTCCAAGAATCCCACGGGGAGCTCAGCCTCGGGCCCAGGGGCTGGCAGGACTGCAGAAGATACCACGGAGGATGCCTGCCCAGCTGAGGGCAGCAGGGCGGCCGGACCCGACACACACCCCGGCCCGGCCCCCACGCCGGCCGAGCTGCCCTGGACCAATATTGACCTCAAGGAGCCCAAGAAAGTGCCCAGCCACTCGGCCGCTGGCTTCCCCGAGACCACCAGCCTCTCCTCACTGGGGCTCCTCCCGCTGGGCTTGGAGGAGCCGTACGGGGTGGACGACCACCCGCTGTGGGCCTGGGTGTCGGGAGGCGGCTGCGTGGTGGAGGCATGTGCCATGCCCAGGTGGTTCACTGTCCAAGCGGGTAAGGGCTCCTGCAGGGCCTGGGGGCATCCACATGGCCAGGTGCCCTGGGGGTGTGGGGTGTGGGAGGAGGCCGGGGTTGGGGGGCTCGGGCAGGCCTGCTGTCCTCCCTGGATGCCTCATTGTGCTCACCAGCCCTGAGCCAGACGTTGGGCTCCTCTGTGGCCTCCAGAGACCAGCCTGAGGCCATCAGGACCTGGAAGCACAGTGGCCAATGCCTCCTCCCCTGTCTGCAGCCCATCCCCTGTGCTAGCAGTGCTGGCTGCTTTCCAGGCTGAATTACTGGGGGAGAGCAACTTGTCCATCAGGGCGAAGGGTGGAAGGAGGCTTAACAGAGAGTGTAGCTTTTGACGTAGAAAGGGCTGATTTGGTGGAGGGGAGCGCCGTGGCTTCCTGCCCAGCTGTGGGCAGGACGGTGCCCCGGCCCTGAGGCTCTGCCTGCCCCACAGGCCTGTCTCCCTCGGTGCAGACGCTGTCCCTGTCCATCACGCCGGCCCAGACCGCCGCCTGGAGGAAGCAGATCTTCCAGCAGCTCACAGAAAGGACCAAGCGGGAGCTGGAGAACTTCAGACACTACGAGCAGGCTGTGGAGCAGGTGGGCACCCCGGTGGCCGCGCACGCGTTTTTTTTTTTTTTTCCAACAATCATTCATTGAGCGCCTGCTGTGTACCAGCTCTGAGAGAAACAGATGGATGCCTCCATCCCGCTGTCCATCCGTCTCCCACGCAGATGCAGGCATAGAGAAAGGAGCTCAGGGTTCCTTCGTCCATCCTGAAGACTTTGGTTCGGGCCCCACTGTGTTCCGGGCTCATTGGAGGCCCTGGGGACCCAGAGACAACAGCAACCTCAGAGGGTGGTGGGTGGGGAGGGGAGGGTGGCCAGGGAGGGGAACCACGGCATCCTCTCCCTGCTGGAGGGAACCCCGGGCGCCCAGGGGTGCAGTGTGTGATTGCAAGGAGTTAGCACAGAGGGCGGCCAGAGACCCCACCTCTGGACCAACCCTGCTACCGCCCCGCTGTCCTGTGGCACAGCCCGGCCCTCAGAGGCTCACAGTCAAGTGTGGGGGTGACAGGGAAGTCACACAGCATGTGACCCTCCTCATTCCAAGGGCCGCTGGACACAAGCAGGCTGTGGTTTGGGTTCTAGCTCGCCGCTGGCTCACTGTGTGACACCAGGCCGGGCACGGAACCTCCCGAGCCTGTTTCCCCATGCAGAGGGCGGGGTGGTAGTGCCCACTGCCCGGCTGTTTTCGAGAGGGGAGGTTGTACCGAACAGCCCTGGCTTTCAACCTGCACCTGTCGGGTGTCCAGCAGCGTCACCGTTGTCATTAGCCTGGGGGGAGCTGGGCTGAGAGCTGGGAGTGCCGGGTGGGCCCTACCCCAGCCCTGCCTCCTCCTCTGGGCACCCCCGGCCCCGCCCCCCTCCGCTTGCACCCCGGGCCTGCCTGTGACGGTGTCCTCTGCCCCGGCCTGCGCAGTCAGTGTGGGTGAAGACCGGGGCACTGCAGTGGTGGTGCGACTGGAAGCCCCACAAGTGGGTGGACGTGCGCGTGGCCCTGGAGCAGTTCACAGGGCACGACGGCGCCCGGGACAGCATCCTCTTCATCTACTACGTGGTCCACGAGGAGAAGAAGGTGCCCGCAGGTCCCATGGAAGATGGGGCCAGGGAGGGGACACAGGGCTGGGGTGCCAGAGGAGGGGTACAGAAATGGGGGTACCCAGGGAAGGGGGTAAAGAAATGAAGTACCAAGGGAGGGGTCAGAGCTGGGAGTACCCAGGGGAGGGGCCAGGGCCACGGGTGCCAGGAGAGAGGGTGTCCGAGGGCAGGGTCCCAGGGTGAAGCACAGTGAGGGTCGCCCTCCAGAGGCCTCCTGCCCTGGGTGACAGCCCTGCCGGGCGCCTGCTCTGTGAACAGTACGCCCACATATTCCTGAACGAGGTGGTGGCGCTGGTCCCAGTGCTGAACGAGACCAAGCACTCCTTTGCCCTGTACACCCCCGAGCGGACACGGCAGAGGTGGCCGGTGCGTCTGGCTGCCGCCACCGAGCAGGACATGAATGACTGGGTGAGTGGGCGATGGTCCCCTCGGGCCGGGGAGAGGGACAGCCATGGTGGGGCGACCTGGCCTGGCCTGCTCGGCAGTGACCAGCATTGTGCCACGCCAGCTCGCCCTGCTCAGCCTGTCCTGCTGCGAGAGCCGAAAGGTGCAGGGCCGCCCGTCCCCGCAGGCCATCTGGTCCATCACCTGCAAGGGGGACATCTTCGTGAGCGAGCCCAGCCCAGACCTGGAGGCCCATGAGCACCCCCTGCCCTGCGACCAGATGTGAGTGGGCTGCACTCCGGGTGGGGCCTGGGGCCTGGGGCCTGGCCTCACCCAGAGCTCGTGGTTACAGAAGGGGGGTCCAGAAGACTGGAGTCCACGCAGGGCCAAGCTTCTCGCTGACCAGCCAGAAGCACAGCCACTGGTTCCCAGGCCCAAGTCCCCTGGGCCTGTCCAAAGACCCCAAGAGGGGGAACCAGAAGCCCCACCGGGCCCAGGGTGGGTCAGTGCCGCCCAGGAGCCTCTGAGCTTCGGGAGGAATGTGGAGTGTGGGTGAGGGGCGCAGTTCTGCACCCCAGGGGGCTTCCAGGCCCTGGCAAAGCAGCCATATCTCTCTGTGCCTGTCCAGGGCATAGACCCGGTGCTCAGCCGCCTCCAGCTCCAGCTGAGGCCCTGCTGCAGGGGCCGCCCGGGGCCTGGGGGCAGAGAGGAGAGAACCGCTGGGGGAGGAGAGTTTGGGGGCGTGGTCCAGGCAGAGCTGGTGGGGTTTGAAGTCCAGCGGGCGTGGGCGGAGAGAGGACTTGGTGTTTGGCACTGGGAAGTGCCGGTGGAGACGGGACCTGGGGGACCCGGGGTAGCCAGGCTGGAGTGGGGTGAGGGCAGGGCTGGACGCACAAGCCTAGGAGGCATTGTTCTGTTGGGGACATTGACAGCCACAGGGTGGGGCTAGGCAGGTTGGCTCACACTTGCAATCTCATCACTTTGGGAGGCTGAGATAGGAGGATCACTTGAGGTCAGAAGTTCAAGACCAGCCTGGGCAACATAGCCAGACTCATCGCTACCAAAAAAAAAAAAGTCAAAAAATTAGCAAGTCACGGTGTCATGCACCTGTGGTCCCAGCTACTCGCAGGGCTGAGGTGGGAGGATCACTTGAGCCCAGGAGTTCTAGGCTGCAGTGGGGTGTGATCACACCCCACACCATGGCACTCCAGCCTGGGCAACACAGTGAGACCCTGTCTCAGAAAAAAAAAAAAGCCGCAAAAGGGGAACGAGTTTCCCTGGGGGGATCTGAGCTGAGTCCTGAGGAGGAGGACCCAGCAGCGGACATGGGGGCTATGATTCTGTCCCCTGTGGGACAGAGAGGCTGCCCCAGAGGGTGTCCCCAAAACGACGAGGTCCTGGGCTTCATGACCTGTGGGCACTGGGGCTGGGGACATAGTAGTGAGCCAGAAGCCCTGGCTGCAGGACAGGATAGCAATATCCTGTCGGAGGATTCTGACCGCCTCTGGTGACAGTGACAGTGACGGGGCCTCGGCCACAGGAGGCTGACCTGCACCAGCTGCAGCCTGCACTCTGCCCGTCCAGGAAGCCATGCTGTGGTGGTGCCGCCTCCTGCTGACACCCTGGAAGCCCAAGGGCTGTGCTGTCACTCATGCAGAGGATTAGACGTCACGTCTTGCTCTGCTCTGTGACATTCAAGCCTGGCTGCACTGCCACCGTGGCCAGCCCGTTCCCCCAGGTCCCAGACCCCAAGGGGCCCTGTGAAACACGCCGCTGGCCTCATCCGCTCCATGTCACCGTGGGGATGAGGTGGGTGGGTTCCAGAAGACTCCCAGCCCGTGGAGGGGTCTGACCTGCACAGCCCCAGTGCCAAGACCCTGCACCTCTCGTGGGCTGAATCTCTTCAGCGTTGATTAATATGAACATGGAGGTCAGGCAGGGTGGACGGTCTGTGCTTGGAGACCGAGGAGGGCTGGGAAAATCCCAGAACCACGGGAGGCCATGGAACAAAAGGGCGGCCAGGCAGGGTTGGCAGGTGGGGCCTGAGGGGTTTCCTCCTGCCCTCTCCCATCCTTCCAGGTTCTGGCGGCAGATAGGAGGCCACCTGCGGATGGTGGAGGCCAACAGCCAGGGCGTGGTGTGGGGCATCGGCTATGACCACACGGCCTGGGTGTACACAGGTGGCTATGGAGGTGGCTGCTTCCAAGGTGAGGGCAGCCCGCGGGCCCCCCCGCCCGGAGCCTTCCTGGGCGTTCTTCCCTCTAGTCCCCGCCTGGGTTCCCTGCCCAAGGCCAGGGCTACTGTCCCAGTGTTCACACTCGGCTAACAGCTGACTGACAGGTGACCTTCACCACTGCCAGCCTCCACCCAGGATGGTCCCTGCCAGTACCCCCCCCCGAAGCTGAGGGCCTCGAAGGTTCCAGAGAGGCAGCGGCCAAGGCCCCGCAGCGTGTCCGGCCCCTCATTTTCAGGGTGTTAGGTGGGCTTTTCCTTCAGGGTAGGCACTCGCTGAACTTCTGTGGACCCCCGATTTCTAGGCCAGGGTCCCTCTGTTCCTACTGGAAAACGAAGGCAGAAACGGCACTGAAACGGGGCGTTCCAGGCCACAGCCCACATGCCTCATGGGGGAGCAGCTAACCCCAGAGAACTGTGGTCCCTTGACGTGCCAGGAACGCGTATCTGAGCAGGCTTTGCAGCTTCCCTGTGTGTGAGGCAGGAATGGCCTCTGTCTTCATGTCACAAGTGAGGGAGCCGGGGCTCACGGACGTTACATTGACGGTCCCAGGTGCCTTTGGTAACACAGAGTGAGCTGGGTGGGCCTCAGGCCTCCCTGGTGCTAAGTGGGAGGGCAAGGTGGGAAGAGGTGCTGCAGGGGTGTGGATGGGAGGTTTGATGCACAGTGGGCTGTGTTCATCAAGGTTGCGCAATCCCAGAATAATCACAGGCCCGGAGGCGAGAAACCAAGGCAGGCCGCCCCGTGAGATAAGCTCAACAGGCCTGTTTGCCCCTCTCCGCTGACCTGGCTCCAGCCCATCCCCGGCCTCTCTGGGAATCTATGCTTCAGACGGAACGCCAGAGTCCCAAGCAGAGCCCATGTGGCCTCGGTCCCAGCAGCCACCTCTCCCCGCAGGCCTGGCCAGCAGCACCAGTAACATCTACACACAGTCAGACGTGAAGTGTGTTCACATCTATGAGAACCAGCGCTGGAACCCTGTCACAGGCTACACCAGCAGGTAAGTGGCACAAGTGCCCAGCCAGGATGCTGCCTGGCACAGTCCTTAGTCCTGGCAAAACCAGGACAGCAGCATCCACCGTAGCGTACAGTCCAGTAGAGCCTGGCGTCAGGCCCCCAGCAGGAAACTAACCGGATCTTATCGCTCACTGAGATTTCTTTTTCCTTGAATCTTGTTTTTTGGTGTTTTGTTTTGGTTTGGTTTGGTTTGGTTTGGTTTTTTTGAGACAGAGTCTCTCTCTGTCACCCAGGCTGGAGTGCAGTGGCATGATCTCGGCTCACTGCAACCTCCGCCTCTTGGATTCAGGCAATTCTCCTGCCTCAGCCTCCCGAATGGCTGCAATTACAGGCGCCTGGCACCATGCCTGGCTAATTTTTTGTATTGTTAGTAGAGATGGGGTTTCACCATGTTGACCAGATTGGTCTTGAACTCTTGACCTCAAGTGATCTGCCCACCTTGGCCTCCCAAAGTGCTGGGGTTACAGGCGTGAGCCACCGTGCCCGGCCGAAAGTCTCTAACTATATTGACAAAGTTTCTACCTCCAATATATGTATGGAATTCCTTCTTAATGAGATTCTGTTCCTGATTCAAGCACCAGAGATAGAAGAAAGAAAGGTTTTGTAATTTTTCTTTTTTTTTTTTTCTGAGACAGAGTCTCACCCTGTTGCCCAGGCTGGAGTACAGTGGCATGATCTTGGCTCACTGCAAGCTCTGCCTCCCGGGTTCAAGCAATTCTCCTGCCTCAGACTAACAAATAGCTTAGATTACAGGTGCGTTCCACCATGATGGGCTAATTTTCGTGTTTTTAGTAGAGACGGGGTTTCACCATATTGGTCCGGCTGGTCTTGAACTCCTGACCTCATGATCCCCCCACCTCAGCCTCCCAAAGTGCTGGGATTACAGGCGTGCGCCACTGTGCCTGGCCTGTACTTTTCTATACTGGAGCTTTTATTAGATGGTATTTCATATTTTTGGACACTATTATAAGTGGCATATTCCAAGTTTTAAATTTCATTTTTTTTTACCTTTTTGAGGCTGTCTAAAGAAATGCAGTTCATTTCCTCTCCTGGTTTTCTTTGTTTTTGTTTTGTTTTGTTTTGTTTTTTGAGACAGTCTCACTCTGTCGCCCAGGCTGGAGTGCAATGGCTTGATCTTGGCTCACTGCAGCCCTTGCCTCCCGGGTTCAAGCGATTCTCCTACCTCAGCCTCCCGAGTAGTTGGGATTACAGGCGCCCGCCACCATACCTGGCTAATTTTTGTATTTTTAGTAGAGACAGGATTTCACCATGTTGGTCAGGCTGGTCTCCAACTCCTGAACTCCCGAGATCCGCCTCAGCCTCCCAAAGTGTTGAGATTACAGGCGTCAGGTGTGAGCCACTACACCCGGCCTCCGCTTCTACCTTTTCCAAATTGATGAAATAAACAGTCAGAGAAACAACAAACTCTCTGACGACTCTAATCTCACCAGCCAAAGACAGCAACTGCGATTAGCATGTGGGGTGTGGCCTTCCGACCATCCTGTGTGTTGGGGGCAGATGAGGCCAGGCACAGGGAGGTGGCTCCATGGCCTCACCATTCCGTACCCGGGGTGGACCCAGTGTATCTGACTTTACTCAGCCTTGGATGTCTCGACCATAAGTGACCTTTTCAGCGTCCTATGGAACCGTTTAAAGGATGTCCTTGTGTGTAAATATTTGTGTGTCTGTGTGTTTACCCCAGTGAATCAGGGGATTTGAGATTTTCCAAGGCGGTTGACACACATTGCCAAAATATTTCCATCCTGAACACCTCTGCCTCGACTGTGGGCATTGTCCACACAGCCTGCCAACACACTTGGATCTCCACCCCCTCCTCACGTCCTCCTCAGTCCTTACGGAGGACAGGGCAGGGCTGTGCACCCACATTTGTCTCAGAGAGGCCCGAAAGGGCCACAGCTGGTCATCACAAATGCGTGCCCCAGCTGTGCTCTCCAGGCATCTCGGCCTCACAGCCGCCCCCACAAAACTGCCCCATGTGCTGCTTCCCGCTACTCGAGTGTCTTGTTGTGACACTAACAAAGTACCACAGACCACATGGTTTGAACAAGAGAAATGTGGCCATGTGTGATGACTCACACCTGTCATCCCTGTGCTTTGGGAGGTGACATCAGCCTGGGCAACAAAGCAAGACTCCATCTCTACAGGACATTTAAAAATAAACTAGCCAGGTGTGGTGGCACATGTCTGTAGTGCCAGCTACTCAGGAGGCTGAGGTGGGAGGATCACTTGAGCCCAGGAATTCAAGTCTGCAATGAGCTATGATCATACCCCTGCACTCCAGCCTGGGTGACAGAGCGATAGCTGTGGAAGGAAGGGAAGGAAAGGGAGGGGAGGGGAGGGGAGGGGGAGGGGAGGGGGAGGGGGGTAGGAGAAAGAAACTCTTCTCTATGCATTTCCCCCCACCCCCAGTTTTTTGTTTTTTTTTTTTTTTTTTTTTTTTTTTGAGACGAAGTCTTGCTCTATTGCCAGGCTGGAGTGCAGTGGTGCAATCTTGGCTCACTGCACCCTCTGCCTCCTGGGTTCAAGCGATTCCCCTGCCTCAGCCTCCAAAGTAGCTGGGATTACAGGCATCCACCACCACGCCTGGCTAATTTTTTATATTTTAGTGGAGACGGGGTTCCACCGTGTTGACAAGGCTGGTGTCGAACTCCTGACCTCAGGTGATTCCCCCGCCTCAGCCTCCCAAAGTGCTGGGATTACAGGCATGAGCCGCCGTGCCCAGCGGGCTGTCACCTCTTAGGAGTGCGAGCGTCTGGAGGCGGCTGGCTCTGAGACTGGAGCTCAGTGCTTCCGTGTGGTGCTGCCACCAGGGGTGTTATGGGGGTGTCTGAGTGAGCCGGTTGGTTCCCCAGTCTCCCTCGTCACCCGCCCTGTTGTCCTGTCGCAGGGGTCTGCCTACGGACCGGTACATGTGGAGCGATGCCTCGGGGCTGCAGGAGTGCACCAAGGCTGGCACGAAACCCCCGTCCCTGCAGTGGGCCTGGGTGAGGCCCCGCTGCCCCCTGGGGGGTTGGGAATCCGCCCTCCCACCCCTCCTCGCCCCTCCTCGAGTGTTCTGACTGCCATCTGGATTTGGGGGTTCCCATCCTCACTGACCCACTCCTCCCAGGTTTCCGACTGGTTCGTGGATTTCAGCGTCCCGGGGGGCACGGACCAGGAGGGGTGGCAGTACGCCAGCGACTTCCCTGCGTAAGCCTCTCCCTGCACAGGGCCTTCGGGCCAGGTCCTGAGTGTCAGGGCCCTGGAGTGTGTGGCCTCCGTCCTCACTACTCTTCCAGGTTGAACCCTGCCCCCTAGACCTGGCCAAGGAGCAGATCCCTGGTGCCAGCCCTGCTACTGGAGGGGGAGGGGCCAGCGGAGGGGCTGGGAGGGACCCAGGAGACTGTTCCCGGCACACATGGCACCTCTGGCCTCTGTGCATGGCACGGGTAGGAGCGCCATGGCTCCCCCATGCCACGTTCATCCCTGCTGTGCCAGGCACGGGCTCTGGGAGGGTCAGATGGTGGCACCCGGGGCACCAGACTGAGGGGCTTGAGGAGGGCGAGTGGCCTCGACAGCCTTCGCAGGGTCAGCTCTTGGGGGCTTTGAGCCAGGCCCTGAGTGATGGGGGTTCAACACGAGATGTCAGTTGAAAGGGCAGCGTGGGCCCCTCAGAGAGATGCAGTCCCCGTCCCGAGGCCCTGGACCCTGGTGGCGCAGGTGCACGGTGTGTGCAGACCCTTCATGGCACAGCCTCAGCCTGTTGGAAGATGCAGTCAGGACAGCCTGAGCTGGGGCCAGAGCCAGGTGGCTTCTGAGCAGACCAGGACCATCCCGTCGGCCACAGCCAGGCCTCCTGGACCACCCTCCCCTCAGCCTCGGGCCTCATCCTGACCCAGAGCTCTTGCTCCCCAAAAGGGCTCTGACGGGGCCTGGGGAGGGGAGGGCTGAGTCCTCTTAGCCTGACCCCTGACAGGTGACTGCTATGCTCCAGCCCCAGAGAGGACCGGACCCCCTTCCCCAGGGAGCCTTCAGCCCCTGGGAGGCCCCAACCCCCGGGAGGCCCTCCCTGCAGGTCCCTGGGGCTGCACTCAGCCCTGACCCTGCAGGGGCAGCCAGGAAGCGTCTCCCAAGAGCCACGCGTGGTGACACCTCCTCCTCTGAACCCCGTCCATGGCTTCCACCCAGTCCCCATGCCCTGTAACGGGTAGAACAAGAATGTTGACGTGCACGGTCCCTTTCCAGAAACTTCCACGAAGTGGCCCTGATTTCATCTTCTTCCTCCTTGCAGCTCATACCATGGGTCCAAAACGATGAAGGATTTTGTGAGGAGGAGGTGCTGGGCCAGGTGAGGCAGGGCTGCAGGGTGACTGTCACAGACAGGCTCCTGGAGGAGCCAGCCCTGAGGGAGCTCTGGTTCCCCGCACCCCGGGCCACATCTGGCCTCTGACCTCAGTCCCAGGGGAAGAAGCAGTGGGGAGTAGGGTGAAGAGGGAAGCTGAATCTAAGTAAATGTCAGCCCAGGAAATGCCCGCAGGCTCGCAGTGCTCTCTGGTTTCAGAAGAGTTTGTTTTCATGAACAAATAAGAGAAATGTCACTGGCACGCTCCACCTGTAAGCTGGACAGAGAACGCCACCTGGCTGGGGATGGGGATGGGGTGGGGTGGGGTGGGGGTGGGGAGGAGGCCACCTCTGGGCCCCTCTTTCCACCCACCCCGGGGTTGACTGCTTTCCTCCTCCTGGCTCCAGTGGGGGAGGCCCTGGAGCCTGGCGGTCACCTTGGGGTCCCCGGGCTGTGTCCGCTCTCCACTGTACAGAAAATGCAAGCTGGTGACCAGCGGGCCCTGGCTGGAGGTGCCCCCCATCACCCTCAGGGACGTGTCCATCATCCCGGAGAGCCCGGATGCCGAGCGGAGCGGGCACAGCATTGCCCTCTGGGCCATCAGTGACAAGGGGGATGTGCTGTGCCGCCTGGGCGTGTCGGCGCTCAACCCCGCGGTGAGTGCCGGGGCCAGATTCTTCCTGCAATGAGGACCTTCCTCTGGAGTCCAGCTGGGCTGGGACCCTGCTCAGGACAAGCCCCTAGGACCAGTGGACACTGCCTGTGGTCCGAGTGGGTCCCTGTGCCCTGGGGCAGTTGGCCCAGGAATGAGGCCAGTGGGGCGGGGGTGACAGAGGTGGGCCCAGGGGACACCGTGGTTCTTTGGCACCTGGTCCTTGGTGGTCAGCACCGCGGTGAGGTGCACACGCCCACAGGGGCGCTTTCCCTGCTCGCAGGAGGATGAGATACGCCCAGGATTTCAACAAGCACCGAGATCAGGCTGGGTGGGGCTGTGTGATTCCCGGCTGTCCCCCAGCCACCCGTGCTGCCCAACTGCTAGGCCCATTTCTGCTGGGCCTGGAGGTGGGGCCCTGGGGGTGGGGGCCCTGGTGATCTCAGCACCCCTCCTCGCCGTCCCCAGGGCTCCTCCTGGCTGCACGTTGGCACTGACCAGCCCTTCGCCTCCATCTCCATCGGGGCCTGCTACCAGGTGTGGGCCGTGGCAAGGGACGGCTCCGCCTTCTACCGGGGCTCCGTGTACCCCTCGCAGCCGGCCGGTGAGTGCCGCGCCCCAGGAGCCCCTGCAGTGCTCACCTTCCGTCCAAGCTGACGTTTGCCAAACATCCCCTCTGGGCCAGGGTCCCCCAGAAGCCGTGTCCCCCCACTCTGGGACTGACTGGGAGGTGGTCACCCTGGCGATGGGGCAGCCGGAGCCAGGCCTGCCTGGCCCTTCCCACGGTGGCCCCTGTGTCTTGGCCCTGCAGGGTCTACTCCACAGTGACCACTCTAGTGGCCGTCTGGGAGGACGGCCTGTGCTGGCTTGTTTTTCTCCAGATGTCCAGTATCCAACACGGGGACACTGGTACTCAGCTGCCCTCTACACAGGGATGGGTTAGGGGGGCAGCCCCTGAGGCTGGGTCTCCACCGTGAGCTGCCCTGGAAGCCTTTGTGTTGCGCTGGTGAGATGAGTCCATCAGAGCCCGCCACGGCTTCCAGAGCTCCAGGCATGGTGCTGGGTGGATGGCAGCGCACGGCTCAGCTCTGTGTGGCCCACAGCTGACACCAGGCTCCACATCTGAGAGGCAGCTGGGGACCGAGGCCCTCAGCCCCACCTGGCCCACATAAGCAGGAGGTGGCCGTGTGCCTGAGTCAGCCTCCCCTTCTCAGGTGACTGCTGGTACCACATCCCATCCCCGCCAAGACAGAGGCTGAAGCAGGTATCCGTGGGGCAGACGTCGGTGTATGCCCTGGATGAGAATGGCAAGTTGCTCTTTTTTAAAATTTTTAATGTTTTGACTGGGCATGGTGGCGCACACCTGTAATCTCAGCGCTTTGGGAGGCTGAGGCCAGCGGATCACCTGAGGTCAGGAGTTCGAGACCAGCCTGGCCAACGTGGTCTGCATGACACAGTGAGACTGTCTCAAAAAAAAACAACAACTAATTTTTGTGAGTACAGAGTGGGTGTATATATTATGGGGTACATGAGATGTTTTGATACATAATATGGCATGCCATACATAATAATCACAGCAGAGGAAAGGGAGTATCCATCCCCTCAAGCCTTTATGTTACAAACAATCCAATTATACTCTTTTAGTTATTATTATTATTATTATTATTTTTTGAGATGGAGTTTCGCTCTTGTCTCTCAGGCTGGAGTGCAGTGGTGCGATCTCCGCTCACTGCAACCTCCACCTACTGGGTTCAAGCGATTCTCCTGCCTCAGCCTCCCAAGTAGCTAGGATTACAGACACAGGCCACCACACCTGGCTGATTTTTATATTTTTAGTAGAGGCGGGGTTTCACCATATTGGCCAGGCTGGACTTGAACTCCTGACCTCAGGTGACCCACCCACCTCGGTCTCCCAAAGTGCTGGGATTACAGGCGTGAGCTACCACACCTGGCCCTCTTTCAGTTATTTTAAAACGTACCATTAGCCGGGCACAGTGCTCATGCCTGTAATCCCAGCACTTTGGGAGCCCGAGGTGGGCAGATCACTTGAGGTCAGGAGTTTGAGACCACCCTGGCCAACTTAGTGAAACCCATCTCTACTAAAAACACAAAAATTAGCTAAGTGTGGTGGCGCGTAAGTGCCAGCCTCCCAAAGTGCCCGTAGTCCCAGCTACTCAGGAGGCTGAGGCAAGAGAATCACTTGAACCTGGGAGGAGGAGATTGCAGTGAGCCAAGACATGCCACTGCACTCCAGCCTGGGTGACAGAGCAAGACTCTGTCTCAAAAAATAAAATAAAATAAAAATTAAAAAATAAAAAATAAAATGTACCATTAAAAAAATCTTTTTTTTTTGAGATGGAGTTTCACTCTTGTTGCCCAAGCTAGAGTGCAGTGGTGTGATCTCGGCTCACTGCAATCTCTACCTCCCAGGTTCAAGCGATTCTCCTGCCTCAGACTCCCAAGTAGCTGGGATTACAGGTGCCCGCCACCATGCCCAGCTAATTTTTTTGTATTTTTAGTAGAGACGGGGTTTCACCATGTTGGGCAGGCTGGTCTCTAACTCCTGACCTCAGGTGATCTGCCCACCTCTGCCTCCCTAAGTGCTGGGATTACAGGCATGAGCCACCGCGCCTGGCTCTGTTGTTTTTTGACTTTATAATAATGGCCAGTCTTGCAGAAATCGAATGGTATTAATATCTCAGTGTGGTTTGGATTTGCATTTCTCGGATGATTAGTGGTATTGAGCATTTTTTCATATGTTTGTTGGTCATTTGCATATCTTCTTTTTTTTTTTTTTCTTTGAGACAGAGTTCTGCTCTTGTTGCCAGGCTGGAAAGCAGTGGATGCAATCTCGGCTCACTGCAACCTCTGCCTCCTGGGTTCAAGCGATTCTCCTGCCTCAGCCTCCCAAGTAGCTGGGATTACAACCATATGTCACCACACCCGGCTAATTTTGTATTTTAGTAGAGACGGGGTTTCTCTGTGTTGGTCAGGCTGGTCTCGAACTCTCGACCTCAGGTGATCCGCCCGCCTCAGCCTCCCAAAGTGCTGGGATTAAAGATGTGAGCCACTGCGCCCAGCCGCATGTCTTCTTTTGAGAAATGTCTATTCATGTCATTTGACCACTTTTGGATGGGATTATTGGTTTTGTGTGTGTGTGTGTGTGCTGATTTGTTTGACTCCTTCTAGATTCTGGTTATTAGTCCTTTGTCAGTTGCATAGTTTGCAAATATTTTCTCCCATCCTGTGGGATGTCTCTTTACTCTGATGATTACTCCTTTTGCTCTGCAGAAGCTTTTTAGTTTAATTAGGACTCCTTTATATATGTTTCTTTTTGTTGCATTTGCTTTTGGGATCTTAGTCAGAAATTCTTTGCCGAGGCAAAGCCCTTGAATAGCTTTTCCTAGGTTTTCTTGTAGAATTTTTATGGTTTTAGGTCTAGATGTAAGTCCTTGATTCATCTTGAGTTGATTTTTTAACACGGTGAGAGAGACAGATCCAGTTTCATTATTGTACATGCAACTTCCAGTTTTCCCAGCACCACTGATTGGATAAACTGTCCTTTCCCCAATTTCTGCTTTTGTACGCTTTCTCAAAGATCAGTGGGTTGTAGATATCTGGCTTTATTTCTTGGTTCTCTCTTCTGTCCCATTGGTCTATGTGTCTATTTTTTTTTTCATAAAACAGAACAAGATTACATTTCAATTTACAACTTCTGTATAACCAAAAAAATAAAACACCACAATAACATGAATGAGAAAAAACATATTTGCAATTCTAGACAAAATGTTATCCTCTTTAATCATAAATGAACTCTTCAGAAATCAGTACAAAGAGACTAACATTATAAGGGAAGTGAAAATAAAAGGAACAGAGGAAAATGGAATAGCACAAATGAGTTATAAGGCTACATGAAGACGATCCAGTTAACGTTAATAACTGAGAAAGCAATTTCATTATAAGTTACATTATCGATCCTTACAAATACTGATTATCTGATGTTTGTACAGCTTTGGGAAGTGAAGAATTCTCAAATACTGGGGAAACTTACTCTAGTCATGGGGAGTTTACTCAAAAATGTAGATTTTTGCATAAACTTGGCCCAAACAGTTCCAAACCATACGAATCACTCCAACAAAGTAATCAGATACACACCCATGCACATACACATACCTATTTACTACATAGAAAATGTGTAAGTAATATATCATCCCCAAAAACTACTTAGGTATCAACTGGTGTATAATACATTGGCGGGGGGTGGGCTATGTGTCTGTTTTTATAGCAGCACCATACTGTTTTTGTTACCATAGGCTTGTAGTATAATTTAAAGTCCAGTATTGTGATGCCTCCAGATTCATTCTCTTTGGTTAGAATTGCTTTGGACATTCAGGCTCTTTGTGGGTTCCATATGAATTTTAGGATTTTTTTTTTCTAATTCTGTAAAAAATGATGACAGTATTTTAATAGAAATTGCATTGACTCTGTAGATTGCTTTGGGCAGTATGGTCATTTTCATGATATTGATTTTTCCACTGATTCATCCCATACTCATCAATCCATGAGCATGGGATGCATTTCCATTTGTTTCTATCATCTCTGATTTCTCTCAGCAGTGTTTTGTAGTTCTCCTTGTGGAGATCTTTCACCTCCTTGGTTATATACATTCCCAGGCATTTTGTGTTATTTTTTGCAGCTGTTGTAAAAGGGGTTAATTTGATTCTCAGCCTGGTTGCTGCTGGCATGTAGCAGTGCTACTCATTTGTGTGCATTGATTTTGTAACCTGAGACTTTCCCGAACTCATGTGTCAAACTTAGGAGTCTTTTAGAGGAGTCTTTAGGGTTTTCTAGGTATTTGATCCTATCATGGGCAAACAGAAACACCGTGACTTCCTCTTTTTCGATTTGGATGCCCTTTCTTTCTTTCTCTTGCCTGATTGCTCTGGCTAGGACTTCCCTTGTCCACAGTTTCTGCTTCCCCAGAAAGAGGATCAGGACGCCGGCCGTGCCCAGCACAATAGGGTGATTATGAGGCTTGGGGGACGCCCTGAGTGTGCAGAAGGCAGAGCTGGCCGCAGCCCAGGCTCCTGAGTGTGGAGAAGTGGAGGAGGCTGTGGCCCTGACTCAGGGGCCAGGACCCTCCTGCCTCCCCGGCAGCTTCCCAAACTCTGAAGTGGTTAGAGCGGGGCCTGGCCACTGGCTGCTGGGCCGCACGGGCAGGAGGGGCCAGGAAGGTCTTTCTCTTTATCTTCACTGCTTCTTTCCCCAGGAAACCTGTGGTATCGCCAGGGGATCACGCCCAGCTACCCGCAGGGCTCCAGCTGGGAGCACGTGTCCAACAACGTGTGTCGAGTGTCCGTGGGGCCTCTGGACCAGGTGGGGGTGCTCAGGGGGTATCGGGCGCTTGGGGTGCTCTGGTTCCCTCTCTGGTCTCCCCCATCCCATGCCCAGCCGTCCCACGGCAGCTGGGGCTGAGAGCTTCATGGGGTGTGTGCTCCAGGTCTGGGTGATCGCCAACAAAGTGCAGGGCAGCCACAGCCTGAGCCGGGGGACGGTGTGTCATCGCACGGGCGTGCAGCCCCACGAGCCCAAGGGCCATGGCTGGGACTACGGCATCGGGGTGAGCGGGGGCCATGGTCTGGGGCTGTGTGGTCACCTTGTGTCCTGTGGGACTGTCCCCTGGGACCCGGGGTCTGGGTTGGAGGGAGGCCCCCAGGCAGAGCCCCTCCAGGATCCTGGAGTCCCCGAGTCCCCTGGTGACATAGCTCTCTCCTTCCAGGGAGGCTGGGACCATATCTCTGTCCGGGCCAATGCCACCAGGGCCCCCCGGAGCTCGTCCCAGGAGCAGGAGCCAAGTGCCCCGCCAGAGGCCCATGGCCCCGTCTGCTGCTGAGGCTCCCCCACGCACCTAGATGCAGTGATGGTGCCCGGTTTGGGCGATCAAGGCTGAGCCATTCTTGTGCTGAAGTGTGTACTGTGAGAGCGATGTCGCCCTGGTGGACTCTGGAGGGAACCTGGCCCCAAGGCTGCGGCCACTTCACAGGCACTGGTAGAGACGGCCCCGAAATGTGAAGCTCCACGGACACTCCTGCACATGTCCCCGTCTGCAAGGAGCCCTGGTGGTGTGGGGCATGGGGTGGGAGGGGCCTCCCACCCTTCCCTTCCCCTCTCCCTCCTGCCTTTCCAGGACTAGAACCCAGAACCTGGAGCCCTCCAGGAACACCGGGCCTGGGGCAGCAGAGCCCAGGATGGAGCCCGCCTGAGCTGGCATCTCAGACAGCACCCGGGCCCCACCACCCCTGACCAAGCAAGATGGCTGTGGGGCTCAGGGCCTCTTTACCATATGCAGTGACCATTTCTCAGAGCAGGACTTGCAAAGAGGCTTTCATTTCAAAAGTGAAGGAAGGAGGCCGGGCGCCGTGGCTCACGCCTGTAATCCTAGCACTTTAGGAGGCTGAGGTGTGCAGATCACCTGAGGTCAAGAGTTTTGAGACCAGACTGGCCAACATGGTGAAACCCCATCTCTACTAAAAATACAAAAAAAAAAAAATTAGCTGGGCATGGTGGCGGGCACCTGTAATCGCAGCTACTTGGAAGGCTGAGGCAGGAGAATCGTTTGAACCCAGGAGGCGGAGGCTGCAGGGAGCTGAGATCGTGCCGACGCCCTCCAGCCTGGGCGACAGAGTGAGACTCCATCTCAAAAAAAAAAAAAAAAAAAAGTGAAGGAAGGAGACAGCAGATTGGAAATAACACTGGAGTAGATGGGATTGGATGGGATGTTCTCTTCCCTGCGGGGGCCGGGGTACCAGACAGGAGGCTGGGAGAGGATGAGAGGCTGCCCTGTGGCCGGAGGCAGTGTCCGTGTGCGCAGTCACCGTCACCAACCCCCTTTCGGCCCCTTCCCCAGACGTGCTGGCGGACAGGGGCTTCTTGGATCAGATCATGATCATGTTGTAGGGGGTGCAGACTGCAGGCTCCTGCGGGGAGCAGGACTGTGTCCGTCAGCGGTGGCCATGGGCTGTGCACACGGACCCTCAGCCCATCCTGCACATGGAGCAGGGCGCACAGTCACGCTCCATCCTGTGGCGAGAGCCCGGCCCGGCCAGGCGAGGCAGAAAGCGTCGGCCAAGTGGCCCCGACCCATCCAGCGGCCTCTCAGCTGCTTTTTATCCCTCTGTGCCCCATTTGGGGGTTTGCTTCCTCCACCTGGACACTTTGCCCGGGAGGTCATCAGAGCCCAACCCCAGGCTCTGCCCGGTTGGAGAGGGGATGACTGTGCCATCACCTGACCTTCCTAGGGTCCTGGTCTCACTGTCAGCAGGGGGTCCGTTGTGTTTGTACAATATGGGGTTTGTCACCCAAAAGCTGATGCTGAGAAAGGTCTCCCTGGGGCCCCGCCCGCCGGCATCTGAGAGACCTGGTGTTCCGGTGTTTCTGGAAGTGGGTCGCAGTGCCGCCGGCTGGGAAGCTCTCAGATCAATCACGGGAAGGTCCTGACGGTGGCGGCCACCTGGAACCACCCTGTCCTGTCTGTTTACATTTCTCTATCAGGTTTTCTTTGGGCATTACGGTTTGTTCCCCTACAACAGTGACCTGTGCATTCTGCTGTGGCCTGCTGTGTCTGCACGTGGCTCTCAGTGAGGTAGGGGGAGGGCGTCACCCTGCAGAACGGTAGAGCGACGCGTCCTCTCGCTGCTGAGCACCAACTGTTTACCTGCCCAGCATCACTTCCTCAGATGCTTTACTCAATAAACATTTCCCCTGGAGTGTCCATGCCCTGGTGTTTTTATCGATAACATTGATTGATTAAAACGTGTGGTTCCCCGCGTGCCTGAAGCAGACATTGCCGTGAAATCTTTTATTTTTTGTTTTATGACACAGCATCAATTTCATGAATACTTTGAGAGGGCCATTAGAAAAAATAAGAGCCAGTTTGGGTCATTTGAGAATCATTTTCAGCACAATTACAGCGGGGGCACGGGCCGTGCGGCTCCGGCTGGGTTTTCCCAGACGCAACAATCACGGTTCTGGCTTCTCCGCGGGTGGGGATGGGGATCGCGCCTCCGGAGCTCTCAGGGCATCTGTCTGCCGAAGGGTGGGTGCGTCCACAGCCCCGGGGGACGGTGCGTGGGTCTCTCACCCACTTATGCGGGGACTTGAGGGAACTCAGCCCGATGGCCGAGGCAGGGGCTCCCCACAGGATAAAAGGATCCAGCCTGGCCTTAGGGTCCAAGAGGAGGGCCAAGGGAGTGGGCCTGGCCCCTGTCCCCTCTCCTCCTCGAAACACTGGACACCCCGAAGCGAGACTATGGCTACTGAGTATCCTGTGTGATGTGGCCACAGGGTGTCCCCTCTGGCCTCAGGGGAAGAAGGACTGGCTGCTCGGCCCAGGTCACCCTTTAGGAAGCAGAGGAGGTGCGGGTGCTAGTTCAGGGCAGAAAGAGCCACTGAGGCCATTGTCCTGAAGGCGGTGACCCCCAGGCCCTCCTGCTGCCCCCCGGGAAGCCCTGGGCTGTGCTAGACACCGGGTCCGGTCTTCGTCTCCTGGACCGAGGCTCTTCTGGGCTTTCGGGCTCAGCTTGTCGGTCCATTCAGCAAGTTCAGGGGCGGACTGAGCCCTGCTCTGGCCATGGCTCAGCCGGAAACAAGAGCTGCCAGGTTTGTAGCACCTGAGTACCCCCGCTGGTGAGGTCTTTGTCATCTTGAGTCCCCGCTGGGCAGGTGTCCCACAGCAGGGGAGCCCCGAGCTCTCGCTGTCCCAAGCTCCCACCTGCATCCAATCTCAGCCCACAGTGGTGGACCACCCTGACCTTCCAGACTGCCCCCTCCCAAGGGGCAGACCCAGCATCCCGGAGTCCCCACCCCGAGCTGTGCTGAAGGGCAGCCGGGGCGGTAGGGCCAGGACCAGACCAGGCCTCTGATAAAGGCTCATCGAAATGAGACCTACGTGCCCGGGCCACCTTAAGGGGCCCTGACCAGGAAAATCAGGCCTGAAGCTGCCAATGCCAGATACTCAGGGTACCTGTGTCCTTATGTGGCTAGGCGTGACCCCAAGCCTGCTGGTACATGCAGCCTTTGGCACCACGACCCCCACCTTGGGGAGGGCAAGGCCACCTGGTGGGGATGGGCCAACCAGGGCCCTTGGTCTCAGCTGTGGCAGCCACATCCCTGGGCCAGCTTGGCCCTGAGGGCCTTCAGGACATCTCTGGGCAGAGGCATGAGGGAGGGGAGAGCCAAGTGGCCAAGTCCGGCAGAGCCAGTGGGGCAGGAACGCCCAGCAGAAGGAAGCTGGGCTTGGGGCGGCAGAGACGTGCCAAGCCGCCAGGCCCAGCCATGAGGATGAAGTACCTGGGTGGGGGAAGGGATATACCTGCCACCCCAAGGCTCCACCAGGCAGAGAGACCCAACGGGCTGCCAACTCAGACCAGGACCCAAGCACATCGTAATGTCCTACAGACACAGCATGGTGCCAATTATATGATAACCCCACATCAGTGAGAATAAGTAACGGCGGTGGCGGGGGCTGGAGTGGGGCATACTTGGTCCCTGCGCGGGCCGGAGCTGAGCAGGAGGCCTCAGAGCCACTCTTGGGGGGCAAGAAAGGGCCTTGGGGCTTCTCTCCCATGCCCAGAAGGGCTGCACCAGGAACACCCAGCCCTGTCTCCTGCTCCAGCTCCACAGCACCCCTCACACCCTGCCCCAGACCCTCCACAACCAGGCACAGCCTGGGGTCACCACATCCAGGAGCCCCCACTCGGGAGGAGGGAGGAAGAGACTCCAGCTCCTCCCCACTATTCAACCTTTGAGGATGAATTTGAGGTCATCTGATTAGATTTTCTGGCAGCTCCAACCATCTCAGATTGGCCCCACTCCCTGAGCAGCCTTGGGCTCTGCCAGGCTTGTCCCAGGCCTCAGTTTACCCCAAATGCGGATGCTGAGCCCAGGCCCCATGTAGCCATACAATGAAGGTTGGAGGCGGGGGTCCCTTGCCAGGGCCTTGGCTTCGGAAAACCTGCAGGTAACCCTTTTCCTGGGATCTCCCCTTGCCCTGGAGGAAGTCAGGGTGAAGAATCGTTGGTGCCAAGGCTAAGAAGGTTTTTCAACTTTTCCTCCTTTTCAAGGAGACTGCCTGGCTCAATGAAAAATCCAGATCTGCCTGGGCCCTACCCAAAGGCTTGGGCCTCACGCCGCTCTCCAGGGCCACGGCCTCAACTAGGCCACTCGCTGGTCCCCAGTGGGGCAGGAAAAATTGCTCCAGGGAAATGGCTGAATGTTCGGGGGAAAATGGAACCGCTGAGGCCGCGTCCTTGTGGGGTGTCCCCGCCCATTTGGGGCTCGCGGCTTGGAGGGACTGGGGCTGGGAGGAGCAGGCCAGGCAGCCGCGGCCACTTCCACCCCCACCCAGGGCTGGGCGTTAGGTGCCCTCTCGGAAGCTGTGGATCTGGGTGGAGTACCTCTGCAGGTGGCCCTGGGGCTGGGCCTCGGTGGCCCCCAACGTGCCCCCAGCCGCCTGCTGCTGCTGCTGCTGCTGGTAGTGCTGGTAGAGCTTGGGGCCCGGCCCCTCCAGGCCCGGGAGGCGGCTGCTGGACATGGTCAGGATGGTGGCCGTCAGTGATTTGATGTAGTTCTTGGCCAGTGTGAGTGTCTCGATCTTGGAGAGCTTCTTATCGGCGCGCACGTGCGGGATGACTTCACGGAGGGCCTGGAAGGCGTTATTGAGCTTATGCATCCGCTGCCGCTCCCTCTCGTTGCTTTCCAGCCGCCGCTGGATGCTGCTGTCACGACGGCCACCGGGTCCCGAGGGGCCTGGACGCCTGCGCCCGCCCTCGCCCCTCGCCCCTGCTGCAGCCCGGGCCGGCCGGCTCCGCAGACCCTTGGACGGCTCTGGCCCCGGGTTCGGCAGGGACCCCTCTGGCGTCCCCTCCCCAGGGGTGACCTCTGTGTGCTGCACCGGGGCCCGGCGCCGCGGGGGCCGGTTCTTGGTCTTCATGGCCCTGGACTGGCTGTCCCAGGAGGTGGCGGCGGGGAGGTGAGGCCCTTGGAGCTGAAATCCAGAACACAGGACACTCTGTGGTCACCCCCACATGGCCAGGGGACCCTCTGGGGTGCCGTCCCCGGCAGCTTCCCACTTGCTGACAACAATGGTACCAGGGGCAGGGGGTGGCGCTCCGCGACTGGAGATCCTTCTGTTCACACGCTTAGCCCTGGGCTGACCCCACCCCACGCCCCTGCTTTACCTCATACAGACTTCTGGAACCTGTCCCTGTCCCTGCGTCCCCCTTCCTCCTGGGCGACTCACCCTGGCCCCTAGATCTTCCTCTGGCTTCACGCCCCTCACGGCCCCCCAGTGCCTCCTGAGCTTGGTGACCTTTGACACTTTGCCTAGACCACCCTGAGACGCGTCCCCCACCCTAGCTTAGGGGGCGCCTCTGCCGGAGGCGGCACTGACTCCTTCGCCCCGTGGGCGGGCAGTGACTCCAGCCACCAGGCTCTCGCTGTCCTGCCCCGCTGGACGTGACACGTGCAGGGACAGCACTGGGGCCAGAACCGCTGCAGACATGGGGCAGCCGTGGAGGTCAGAGGTCGGCAATGGCCAGGGCCTGGCGGCAGCCCCCAATCCCACCACGTGGATGGCCCCCGTGGGGGCTCCGGACAGACCAGAAGTCCCCCACCCGGGTTTCCCCCCAACCCCCACAGCCCCGCCGCCAGGTCCTGCCCCTGGGTTCCCTCCCCGTGGCCCCACCCGAGTTCCCAGCTCCCGGGTTACCTGGGGATCCGCGGCCGCACGCACCGAGGCTGCCCACGGGGGACAAGGACACGTCGCTTTAGCCGCCCCGGGCGGGGCCGCGGACGCATGCAAATGAGCCCTCGGGGCGGGGGCGGGGCCGGGGCGGGGCCGAGGTCCGGGTGTCCCGGGCTGGCGCGGGCAGCGGTGGCGGCACCTGCGGGCGGGCGGCCGGCGCCTGGGGCTTCCAGACCAGGTGGCCGCGCAGCCCCGCCCCCAGCTTCCGCCCCGCCCCCAAGACAGAAAACCTCCCCCGCCCGCCTCTCCCCATCCTCTCCCTACAGTCCCCCCACCCTCGTCCCCCCAGACAGCCTCCCCCACCGCCTCTCCCATCCTCCCCCGACAGCCCCCCACCCTCGTTCCCCCAGACAGCCTCCCCCACCGCCTCTCCCCCTCCTCCTCCTATAGCCTCCCCTACCCGCCCCGAGATAGCTTCCCCCCATCCGTCTCTCCCCATCCTCCCCCTACAGCCTTCGCGAGACAGCCTGCGTCCCCACCTCCCCTACTCCCGTCCCCCGACAGCCTCCCCACAACCTGCTTGTCCCCATCCTCCCCCTCAATTTCCACCCGCACCTTCCCCACTCGCCTAGCCCACATCTGTGCCCGAGACAGCCTCCCCCCACCCGCTTTCCCCGACCCTCCCCCCGACACAGCACCCCCGCATCCATGCCTCCCGCGGCCCTCCTTCCCCGGCCTCTCCACTCCTGGCGGGGCCCCGGGCCCATTCCGCGGATGGGGAAACAGGTCCCTGGGAGCAGCCGGACGGAGGGGCAGCCCCGGTTCAGGCTCAGCACAGAGCCCAAGTCCCAGGAGCACTCCGGGACGAGCCGCTCCGCGAAAACGCCGGCATCTCCCAGGGGCTCCCCCGCCCCGCTGCCCGGGATGTTTAGGGGAACCTGGGGCTCCTACGGGCTGGGGGCGGACCCCGAGTTGGGGGTGGGGAGGCTGTCCATGGGAACGCCTTTTTTTTTTAAGACGGAGTTTCGCTCT